AAACGCACTAAGCCCTTGTGCGTAGTTAGAGTCAAGAGTGGTTGGGACTCCTCCGCCACAGGAAGTTGGAGATACGCTGCCTCCAAGTCCAAAACTGAAAACCAGCTACAACCTGCTAGAGTAGCAAAAATGTCCTCCGGTTGAGGCAAGGGATAGTGTTCCGACTGGATCACTTGATTAAGGGTTACTTTAAAGTCCCCGCAGAGTCGCACCCCACTTTTCTTCTGAATCACCACAATAGGAGTAGCCCACTGAGAGCTGGTAACGGGATAAGCAATACCTTCAGCAATCATCCTATCAATCTCATCTTCTACTGATTTACGCAACGCGTAAGGAACAGGGCGATATTTACAAAATTTTGGCACAGCATCCTCTTTTAACACAATACGTGCCTCAACATCCTTAATTTCACCAGGACCTCCTTTGAACACAGAGGCATACTTTTGTTTCAAACCAGAAACGACTTTAGGCTCAACGGCCTTACCTAGGGTTAGGTTAGGTTCACCACCCTTAGATTTAACACTGCCTGATAGGCTATTAAAATTACAAGTAAAAATAGATTTCCAGTCAAAAGCGATATGTTGTAGCCAACTACGGCCTAGAAGCATAGGCTGGTTCGTACGATCAATCTTAACGACTATCATAGGTAAATGATAAGTCTGGTCCATGTAGGCTACTTTGACTAAAGCTTGTCCAATAACATTGACTTCATTGCCTGAATATGTAAGCAACTTGATATCTACAGTACTCAATTGTACATGAGGGAAATATTTGTTAAACAATTCTTGAGGGCACACAGTTAGTGCCGAGCCAGTATCAATTTCCATTAATACGGATACATTCTCTATTTCTAGGCTTACCTTAAAGGCAGAAACATTATCACCAGAATTCATACTGTACAAAGACAAACTTTCAAACTTCACTTCATCTGGACCACCACTAGGCCTAGGCCTATTTTCCTCTTCCATCTGATGGATTTTAAATTTACCACTTTTTATGGAATTTTTCACTGGATTTTCATTTTTGAACCTGCAACCCTTACTGATGTGACCCAACTTTTTACACCCATGGCACTTGTAATTACTATACGGGCAATTATTAGCCCTATGCTCTGGATTGCCACAACGAAAACACTTATTTATCTGAGACATATCTCCCTTCACATCACTTGAATTTGATTTAGATCCTGCACTGTGAAAATTTGAACCTCGGTTGGAAACACGTGCATTCTTCTTGACCTGAAACCTGGAAATTTCCTGAACACTTGTATTCGAGAATAGACCTGTTTGTTTCTCGGCCTGTTCAAGCCTGAGTGCAAGAGCCAACGTTTTCTTCAAATCCATTTCTTCGGAAAGTAATTTTTGACGAATTGCTTCATTTTTAATTCCCGAAACTAACTTGTCTCTCAGTGCGTCCGATAAGAATGTTCCAAAATCACACGTCGAAGCCAAATGCTTCACTGCCACTACGAACTCGGCAATACTTTCAGATTGTTTCTGGCATCGACTATAAAAAGTATAACGCTCAGCGACCACAAGGCGTTTAGGAGAATAATGATCTTCCAAGATTTTGCTCAAATTTTCGTAAGATTCTTCATCAATCTTCTTAGGAGAAATAAGATCGGTGAGGACGGCTAATATTTTAGGGCCTATTACAGTAATCAAGATGGAGACCTGCTTCACGTCCTTGACCTCGTTGGCCTTGAAAAAGTGTTTCAAACGTAACAAATACGAACTAATATCTTCTTCGTACGGATTAAACTCCGATATCCGACCGATACTAGACATTTCACGCACACGCGGATTTAATTTCGTCGCCAAATGTAATAACTGTATTACTCAATATTAATAAGTTAAAGGAACCCGATACTTGGGACAACTTACTATTAGCATGACAACTCCGACTGCCGTTTCACTCCGCTTCGTGCCATCGTTCCTCGTCGGTGACGTCACTCAGCAGTGCAGCCAACCACACACACAAACTCAATATTCTTCTGGCAATGTAATATAGCCTTATATATTACAGTTTCCTCTAATATATAAATAGGCCTAGGCTTATAAGTATTAATCTAAGTCATTTGACAGTTTTTGTATTTCTTTTTAAAAGCAATTGCAGTTATACATTAAAAAAATTACATACATCTTAGCCGACCAAATACTTTTTGTAAGGAGAGTCTTTTCTCTAGTGAGTAAAAACGATCGTGGTCAAGGAATGAACTGTGCTAAAACAGCACATTGTCAATGTTTACAAAAGTATTTTGACTGAAACCTGAAACCCTGGTATTTTTTAAAGACATTGTAGAATATGTCAACGTCTGTGGAGAAAAGTATGGTAATTGATAGGTTTTACTTTTAGCCTGCAAGAAAGATTATGTTTTGGGACTAGAATATCCAAAAGAGTGCTTTAAAAAAAAAACATTCCATAGTTTTATTTAGTAACAAAAGTGTTTGACTATGTCCCCGATGATACCAAGAGCAAGGTTCGGCAGAGTGGATTCACTGTGAACCCACCTGCCTGGCCCTTATGCACGATCTCACTATAGCCTCCGTGTAGGGGTGTCAACAATGGATCGGAACAATCGATGTTTTGAACCTGTCTGTAACCCAGTTTTTATACTTGAATACTCATTATTTATAAACGAACACGTCCTACATATCTGATCTCGAATCAGGATATTTATATTTATCGATACCCTTCCCACCCAACATAAGCACATAAAACGATGTCAAAGCAAAATTGTAATTTTCTCCATTGAAACACAAAAGTCGATTGGCTGACATGGCAGTGCATTGTTGCCTCCTGACCAATGAGAACTGTTGTTACATACTTTAATTGTCAACATTCACCATCCGTTATAACATTACAAAATCGACATGGACTAAGGCTTATGATATTTTTCAATGAATAGGCTACATTATGCTATAGTAGCACTTAAAACTTCACTAAACTCTTTAATCAGGTATATAGTTCAGATATAATATGGATCTACTTTTTGGCGCAATATAAAGCAAGCCTAACCATACTACGATGACGATGTTAAAGTTTAATGGTTGAATATAATTTTTCTATTGATGCATATAATGCAGGGATGAAACTGAACATTTTGACGTGTTTAGGTTATTTATTTTGTACTAAAAATAAAAATAATACATCTAAATGTCTGACTTATTGATACAGACATTGTTTAGTATAATTAATTTTGTGTTGGCAAGACATTCCCGCTCCGGTTGTCTCTTAAATTGAGTCTGACATCTTGAAATGTAGAATGTGTTGTGCAATGAGCTGAAGCTAAACAATGTCACCGGCACTGTCGCTGTTTTGAACTAGATAGTTTCCAAGTTGGCTATGAAAATTGTTAACCGTGATTACAAAACTAATACTGTAGCTATAAAGTCAATAAATGTTAAAAATAAAATATTTATCCCTGTCAGGTGTTGGTATCATCGGAATCGACTTTTGACAATCGAGTCTTGGTACCGATACCAATGTCCAAGTGGTAACCGATGGATGGTGGTATCGATGATGATAATCGACACATCCCTTTTTAAAACTGTATCGTGACCAAATCGATGCATGCTGGATCAAATCAGGATTGATGCATCGAATCGAAATTTCAATGCATCGCACTCGCACACCACAACCTATCACCCAGTACCCAGTGTCAGCTGTAGCTGTCAGTGAATTGGATGACGCAAGCGATGTCTAGGTTGCCGGTTATTATTAGGCCTAGGATGTCAATATTTAAAGGGATTAAGGGATTAAATAAAACTCAAACATTTTCCGTTCTTGTTATTTACTTGTCAAATATCAATGAAAATAACGAAATCGGCTTAACGTCTACTACTCGACAGTTGAGTTCTCGCCTACCCCTAGATATTATAGATATTAGTGATTTTTTGGTACCTGAGGGTATTTCTTAGCCCAAACAGATCTTGAGAAAATTTTCTGTAGCAAAACTCAAATCCCCGCAAGACTGGAAAGCAAAACTTGTTATAATCATCTCCCTCGATTGCAGCAATAACCGTGATCATCCCTTGTGATAACAGGAACATATGGCCATCATTTCTCACATTTGCGATTTGAAAATTTTCAAAAATTTTGAAACTACCTGCTCCCAATTCTGAAACTGCAATCACAAATAGACCCAGGCATACCATAAATATAACAAAATTATACTGCTATTTATATGTAGCCAACATATACATTTTATTTCACAAAATCTATATATATAAAAGGCAAAGCCCTCACTGACTCACTCACTCACTCACTCACTCATCACTAATTCTCTTACTTCCCATTTACCTAGGAGGCTGAAATTTGGTACACTGATTCTTTAGGCATTAAATAGGAAAACTAAGCTGTTTTTATTCTGATCGGACTCTCGGGCTCCGCCCCAGTGGCTCTGGAAGTCTCCCATTATACCTTATGAGTACTCATATTTAAATGGAATTAATGAATCTTAACAGCTGTTTCAATTAAACAAGTTGGTTCTGTTCTATGATGTTCAATAGCATTAAAGTTACAAGGATTACCAACAGGGTGCAGCACTATTATTTCTTTTAAATTTATGACAACAGCTAATTTGCAACCAAAAGGTGAGTGAGCGTAGCGAACGAACTTCAACCTGAAGCGAGTTAGCGTAGCGAACGAGCTAATCTGAAGGCAAGTGAGCGCAGCGAACGAGCTCCAACCTAAAAGTGAGTGAGCATAGCGAACGAACTTCAACCAGGACGTGATTGAGCCATGCGAACGAGCTCACTTATAAAGTTAAACGGGGCAAAGCCCGCAGGTACAGCTAGTAACTTATAAAGAATGAGTTCAATTTAGTAGTGTACTGATGGTACCAGTAACAAGAACCAAGAATTATTTTTAATTAGCAACCGATTCCGACACATCACTAATGAATATCTTATTATCTGCACCTAAATAAACTTCTAGGTCTTCTTTATTTTGTATTAAATATTCATGTGTCGTTATCATGCCAAATTGCTGTTTTACAGAAAAATAAGATTGATCCTATTGTCTTCAACTGCAGCATGGCGGAATTGCTGTATGCTCAGTTCCGCTTCAAGCTGAAATCTTTTCGATTGGATTGTGAAGTGAGTCGATTTACAATTTTTATAATATTATAAGCATTGATTTTTCAATGCTTAGTTCAATGATTAATTTGATTGTAGTTAATTCAAACACAAAATGTTTATTTTATAAATTTGATCTCATGTTCAAAAATAAAGCTGATCTTGAGTTTTTGCACACCTAGGATCTAAAAATCACAATTTTGGATTTCTAAAAATTAATGTTCAGGTTCTATGTATTACAATAAACTTCTATTCTATTTGTCATGTGCTGAATAGCAGTTGTGTCTGCGAGAGGAGAGTAATGTCAATGTCATCAACAGAGTTAGTTTTTGTCAGCTAAAACTACAGCCTTCTCCCAATGCTTTTGGCCTGCATCAGGCCTGTTTTTGTGGCAAAACTGATAGTTTAGTGGTAATACAAACTGTTAACCATCAACACATATTGTTTGAGAATATTTGAGACTACTTTGGATAGTTTCCCTCACAGTGTTATCGTTGCAGGGTGAGGTGCTGCGGCTCTCAGCCCTACATCAGTCAGCTGGACCTTTGATCCCTGAACTACCTGAAGATCAACCAGATCCAGATGACACTTGTGATGTCACTACCAGATACTCTAACCTCTCCCTAGAGAAACAGAAAGAGATATTGGCAGAGCTGAACACTGCAGTCTCTCACTGGCGGACTGCTTGTACACGATTGACAACGGTACGCCAATGTAGTGGATAATAAACCGAGTTGCTTGTGTTAATGGTTAATGGTTTTCATGTCTTACTTAATAAATACAGAATATCCAAAAGATAATGCTGGGATTTTAAACGGTCATTGCTTTAGGTTTATTCAAGATAAATAAACGATTTAAACATCAAGCTGAAGTAAAAATAACGAAGTTTTGTTTTCCCTGTAGCAAGGGAGGAATCATTAACCTTGACAAGCGCAAAACAGGTTCGTTGTAGCAGGCTGCCATTGTGACTCGCACGCCTGACACCAGTTGCCAGAACTACGATGTTTACGGCGCAACAGAAGGCACAGTGAGATCTGTGGTTTGCAGGGTGTAAATCTATTGTTAAATTAATTAAACATTTTGTATGAACTTTAATTTGACAAATTACTTATACTTACATATTTCTAAGAGTAAGAGTCAACATTTTCTAAAACTGACTTAGAATAAGTATTTGTAACGTTTAAAATACAGTGTGGTTTTTTAAAACTTGGAATTAGAAATAGACATATTTTAATCTGAAATTATATTTATTCCTTGTATTTTAATTATGTGTAAATTTTACTTCATCTGACAAACTCTTTTTAGTGCTATGGGTCCAATTTAGAATTTCATTCATGTATAATCATTTATGTAGAATTCACAAATATTAATAATTGTAACTTCTTTAAAAACTTGTACAATCTATAAATTATATATTTTTCACATAAAGCATAAATTGTATTTTAGAATCAGGAGTCTAAAAGTTCTAAATATGACTTACGAGTAACACTTAAGAATCTACAAGAAGCTGCCTTTATAATGAAACTCTACTGTGATGAGATCAAGGAACGTGAACTTTGGCGTCTCCTGTACAACCTGGCCTCCCTTGTAGACGACACAAACAGTGTCGTGATTGGTATGTATATGTTAGTTTTATTTTTAGCCTATTTAACTGCCACGCCGACCCAATCGGGACGACTGGCATAGCATGGTCGGCTGGAAAATCTTGCCGACACGGTCGGGCCGGCACGAAGCCTTGACAGTGTTTTGCTGGTCAGCCGCTAGACGCCGTCTCTTGAACTCTAGCGGCCCCCAATAGCAGCGACTAGATAGCATTGTGTTAAGTTTATAATGCTGTTCAGCTGATTCATAAACAAGCGCGAGTTGGCTTGAAATGTGCCAATCCGACCGGGTCGGCATAAATTTTTCTTTTTTATACAGGGTGTAAAAAAAAACAAAAAAACTGAACAACTTGGAAGCTTAATAAATCTATTTAGGCATCCACAGATCATTTTTGAAACTACCATATGATAGAGGAACTTAGTTTTTTCAACATGATTTGCATGTATCAGCTCATCCATTGTCGTTACTCCTTTAACTTCAAAACATAATCTACAGTAAGGCAAACGTCATGAACGTTCAAGAGAAAGCTCAGTGTGTTGAATATCACATTGAAACATAATCTAACACAATGTGATTTTTCCTTCTGGGGTTTTATCAAAGACCAAGGTTACGAGTCGAAAGTCTCCAATGTTGGAGCATTGAGATTTAAAATCAATTCAGCCTTCAGCAACATCACTGATGAAATGTGACATGGAGTGTGGTGTCAGAGTTAGATAACCATATTACAGTCTTTTTGCCAACAGTGGAAGCCATGTTGAAATTTTTCATTTAAACTTATATCCAGAAAAAGCTTAAGAATATGTTTGTTACTTTACATTCAATACAATTTGTATAAGCCTGTTATTAAAATATTTACACTGCAACAAAGATGTTCAGTATTTTTTGGGACACCCTGTACATCACATTACTAGATCAAATAAAAAAAAATATAAAGGAACTTTTCTTACAGTTTAATTTTGTTTCTAATGTATATATTCTTTAATTCTTAAGTATGAAACAATTTATATCAAATATAGTTATTTCAAGTAACCAATAGTATCAAACTGGGTTGAAATAAAAAAATATATTATGAAACCTGTTTTATTTCTGAAATACAATATTATATTTTAAATATCAGAAAGAAAACATTAGACAATCGCCGGTCACTGGTGAACAAACCGGCCCGCGCAATGATTTTTGTGGGCAACGTGATGAAAATTGTCCATTTTTGTTCTCCCAAACACTGTTTTTCACACTAAAAATGTTAAATAGCACAATAACTAACATCTACAATTATATACAGCCCCTTTCTCTCTCCCAACCATTGTTTATTTCAACAAAATTGAGCCATGGAAGTGCTGATAACAATTTGGTATTGGGGAGTCCATCTATATATTAATAGGCAAGCATGTTTCTTTCAAACCTTTTTTCTCAGATCATGTGCATCGCAGAGACAATCTACGCATACTGTTAGAAAGATATTTTCCTGTAGATGTGCAGGATATCTTTAATAGCTATTTACATTACAAGTGTAGTAAGAGCGTTTTTACATCACGCAAGTGAATGTTGTGCAACGAGCGGAAGCGAGTTGCAAAATTCACTTAAGTGATGTAAACACGCTCTTGCGTAACGTGTTACGTACAAGATTTTACCTGACCCGAAAATATACATAGGTTTATGTACAATATATTTCATTATCCATTTCACTCATCTTCTAACAGTAACGTTCTTTTACAAACAAAAGCTAGGTTAGGAAAATACTTTAAAGCATAACAATAACATTCAAGCGCACAGCTGATTTCTAGCGTTGAACGTCGTTGGCTCCATAGAAGTATATTTTTTAAGTTAAGCACTCAATGTTATTTAAATGGGTTTCTTTACATCACCGAGTGAGTTTTTGATACTTTACATCACTCGAGAAGTAAGGAAGTTGTATACATCACGCTTGAGATAGGGAAGTTTAACATGGCGGGTTAGGTAAAAATTCAAATATAAGCACAAAAAATGAATTTGAAATTTTAAAAAATTAACATGGGCTTTATGGGTTGCCAAGCTGGTGACGAAATATAAACAGAAAATCAAAACAAATGGAATAAATCACAAACACATGTTTTATTTACAGCTTGGGGTGAAAATTGAGAAGTCGGCACATTAGGTATTTTTGGTCGAGTTTTCGACCACTGGATGACCACTAGTCTTTATTAAAAGGCACATAAACTAAAATAATAAACTATAAAATATATTGTTGTGTCGTATAAAAAGCAAAGACACAGAAGAAATACGTCAATAAATTTAAAAAGTCAATAAATCGTGTAAATGGAAATTTACCGGTCTCGGGAGACTGGCACCGTAATAATAGGATAATAATAGGTTATTGTTACGCTAGCAACGCACAAACGATAACTCCGGTCCTTACCACAAGGTTGTGTCACACTGAGTGATTCATTTCAGTGGGACCTGGCCGGGCACAGGTGACCAGTCCGGCCAGGGCGCGTGTCCGGCAGCTGGGCACAGGTGACTGGGCAGGCCTGGGTGCACGCCCGGTGGCCGGTCCTAGGTGACCGGCCGCACTCAACGTGTTAAAGAAATATTAGGCCTAATGAAGTTAACAGTATGTCATCTAGGAATACTTGACATAAAAGTGTGTAAACATTTTTTCATTGTACAAAGAAAGTGTTTTACTTTACTATTGTTCTTCCTTATGAATGGTTTAAAACAGTCTTTACACAAGTATGGCTTATCAGGGCACATATGGCAGATGCAGAGTGCCGTCACCTTTATCAAGTTTTTCGCTGCCTGGCGAACTCCTTCATTCACAACTCTTTGGTAGCAAACCTTGCAGTTCTTTCTCGTTCTTTCTTGTCTGATTTTTTCCTTCACCAACAAAAGTCATAGACTCAGAGGGGTAGTGGTGTCCAGTTACGGTTACAGATTCCACAGCATTGTCTTGAAGGCCAAGAAGGGAATAGACAATCTTTTCCCGAAATGTCGTGATGGAAAACAGGTACTGTCGCCTGTTATTACCATTAGCACAAACAGTTTCCTTGTATGCCAACCAACCATTGACCACCGCGGTTCCCAGTAGCAATTCTTTGGCAACTTTATGGTACCACCGCATTGACTTCCGTACTGCTGTACTATAGGACGACTTTTGATCTGATAAGTCGATGCCCAGTTTTGGTTTGTTGTACGCCACAACAACAGTAGGTTTTAGTATGGGCTCGCACAGTCTGTTTTTCTTCTCAGTGTCCAAAAAACCAGCAGGATGTTTGGTTGACAATGTTGACATTATTCACACTTCCCGTTTGTCCAACCATTTAGTATAGATGGGTATTCCAAACAGACGATGCCTCCTGAGTTCAGCTACTGATTCGGGGGAATAGTTCTTTGTGTGGGAACCAGGCGCAGTTCGCGATGACGGTGCCAACCAAGTGGTTGTTTCTGGCCAGAAGAATGTTAGCCAAATAAAGAGATGTGTAAAAATTATCTATGTACAAAGTGTGGCCCTTATCCAAATATTTGGTAATAAGGTTCATTACTACAGACGTTGCCAAAGTCGAGCCATAATCCACTCCAGTACCTTTTCCCATGAACACTTTTACTTTCATAGTGACTCATTTAAATCCGTCTCATTTGACATGGGAATATTCAAAACCCTTTCTATCTCACTCTCATCTAGTTCTCTACTCATTATTACTTCATTTAAAAATAAAACGTTAACTCACATACTAAATCGCATACTCTCTAAAAACACGTAGATGCGTTGTCGTGTAAATATGGTTACGAGTACAAGATTAGGTTTCACTGTGGAATTAGGTTTGAACATTACAGCTGTAGCCACTTTCTGCGTGAAAATATCAGTGTGGCCAACTGAGCAAAGGAAAAAAAGTTGAAATACGCTCTCTTCTATATGACGGTCCGATCAGGTCGGCACCATTTTATTTGAAGCAAAAATATATGAAGCAATTTGAGACCACAATCATGAAAATCGGTTGGGTAAAGAGCCAAACAAACTCGGAAAAGAATAACCATATTTAACAACCATAAGAAATACATGGGGATCAATCAAATTTCGTTCATATTTTTTTAAGTGGAGTGGGACTGTAGATAAATATAGGCCGATGCTAATTAAAATCGGTTGTGTAGAAGAGCCAAACAATCTCCGAAAAGAAAAACAAATTTTTAGAAATATGTAAGATGTTTGTAAAATTACTAAGGGCGTTGAATATTTTTTGTAATACTGCAGCAAAATCAGCCGTTTATAATGCATGGGTTGCAGCAAGGCCACACTAAAAAAACAGGCCGTAATGCTTGTCAAGCATGACGTCACTATAGAAGACGGCAATGACGTAATGTTTGCCGTTTGTGATCAGCTGCTTGTTTTAATCTTTCCTTGGAATATAAATAAATAAATACCTACGTCATTGCCGTCTTCAACTTTACGGCCTGTTTTTTTTTAGTGTTGCCTTGGTTGCAGGTGTAAAGTAGCATTTTTACTCTCTAGGGAGTAAAAATCAGCTTTTGTTAACAGTTGAAAATTTTGATTGTGACTTTCGTATTGATCTTATTTATTTATCGAATGATTTATTAGGTAAGGTTTTAGCATATTGTTGTCGATTGCTCGACATACAGGGTGAGTTTTAAATGAGTTCCCCCCCTACTTTTTTCTAAATTTCTTAAGATATCAACTCCGAACCACGTCAGATCATTGTAGAGTAGTAAGTACTTCATTTTGACTGGGTTTAAATTTTGTGGCCGCCATCTTGGATCCGCCATATTGGATACAAAGTATTTTTTTCAAACGTAAAGGTAGGGTTGTGACCCACCGTTTCAAACTAGAATTTTACGCTGAATACGATGCTGCAATTCGTTTTTAAAAATGTTGATCCATTCTAAAGTTATGAGAACTTTCTATAACTTTATTTTTAGCTCATTATAACATTGTGCATTTACAAACTAAGGCCATAATCCCAAAATAGTGCTAGATAATTAGATAAGTGGATACCACCATTCATCGTTGACCTATTTTCACTTGGTTATGAAGGATGTATTTTTTCAGCCGCCATCTTGGATCTGCCATTTTGAAATGTGATAAATAATTTTAAATATGAAGGTCGTGTTGTGACCCATCATTTTCAACTAGAGTACTTTCTTATGCTGAATTCAATGCCGCAATCCGTTTTTCATTGTCATATTTGGTTTTTGAAATATTGACGTTTTAAATAAAAATAGTTGTAATATTTTATCAAGAAAGCTTGAGAACAAAAAAAAAAAAAAACGGATTGCAGAATTAAGTTCAGCATAAAAATGTTGTTCAAAATGATGGGTCACAACACCACCTTGATATTTAAAATAATTTATCACATTTCTAAATGGCGGATCCAAGATGGCGGCTGAAAAAAATACATCCGTCATAACAGAGTGATAATAGGTCAACAATGAATGGTGGTATCCACTTATCTAATTATCTAGCACTATTTTGAGATTATGGCCTTAGTTTGTAAATGCACAATGTTATAATGGGCTAAAAATAAAGTTATAAAAAGATCTCATAACTTTAGAATGGATCAACATTTTTAAAAACGAATTGCAGCATCGTATTCAGTGTAAAAATCTAGTTTGAAACGGTGAGTCACAACCCTACCTTTACATTTGAAAAAATTACTTTGTATCCAATATGGCGGATCCAAGATGGCGGCCAAAAATTTAAACCCAGTCGAAATGAAGTACTTACTACTCTACAATCATCTGACGTGGTTCGGAGTTGATATCTAAAGAAATGTAGAAAAAAGTAGGGGGGGAACTCATTTAAAACTCACCCTGTATAAATGGTATAATGTATTGTAACACAATTGTAATAGACTAATTGATTGAATCATTTATAAAAAAGCTGCTTATTTGCATTAGCAGGATTGAAAGCAAGCTGGAAATATTTTTGAGAGGTTATCTTTACATAACAATTATTTTTTTGTTTTCTAGCTTTGTTTGTTAATTAATTAACGATGCAGTATGACGAAAAATTTAGTTCACCACACGGGCAAAAAGTAACTTTAACCCTCTCTCATTTTCCGACCTTGGCCTCGCCTCGATTGTAAAAGTGGACCTCGGGTCAAAAAGAGTCACTTTAGGCCCTAGTGATGAAATATACTATTGTTGAGTCCTGTTAGGAGACATTAATGATGCAACTTTTGAGTTAAAATTAAAACAAAGCTTAAATATTAATTTAACTTTATTGTTTTTTTTCAGCAATGGGTGAAATGTTGAAAAACAAAACTCTGTTCGACTTAAAAGATATTGAAGAAATTCTGCACCGTCCTGGGGTGTTGGAAAGAACAAAAGATGCTTTTACATTAAACAAAGCTTCATTCTATCTCAGCAAGAACATGGTACAGTAATCTAAAAATAATGGTTTTCTTATTGGAATTTCCAGAAGTTTCTATTGACTTGATACCATTAGGCAGTCCCCCTATGCACTGTGGAAGGGTTTCATTTCAAGTGAGGCAAGTCTGCGCTATCTCTTTCACCATCAAATTTCCTAGAAAGTAGTGCTATCTCGTCCAGCGTATATTAGAGCTCGTGCGTTTCCTGGTGAAGCCTGGGGGTAGGTGGTAAGAGTGGCTCAGAACCGGTTTTGTAGGGGCTTCAACTCTACCCCCAGGCTTCACCAGAAAACGCACGAGCTATAACAGTTGATATATTATAAACTGGCTGGGTAGCCAAGTGGTTATAGTGCTCGCCTAACAATCGAAAGTTCGCCGGTTCGATCCTGAGAAAAGTCAGTGGCTTTTTGATGGTTCAAAACCAAAACTGGACCTAGCTGTTGCTGATCATTAGGTTTTTTTTAATAAATGATCTTGGCTAATGAAACAGCTGACCTTAGTCAGTAACAAAGCTACACAGATCATCTCACAACATTCTACACTCATCCTTCACTCATATTTGGGTTAAAATATGTACCTAGGTGGCGACACCGCCTCAATGATTGATAATTTATAATAATTTAACACATTAATTGATGCTATCTTGTCCACTTTAAAACTTGACAATGGGTAAGGATTAAGGAACGCAAAGCAGGTAGTCTCCAGGATCTGAAGGGGGTTGAGTATGCATGGAAAGACTGATGATGCAATTTTATTTCTGATTGTTATAGGCACTATGGTAATCATTAAAACACATGTTGTTGCCCCCAGCGTGGTCGACATCCCCGGGGGGGGAGGGGGCTAATATGGCGGGGGGGCCGTTTACTAAAATGCTTATAACTCGAGAACCATATTTAAGATAGAAAACTGAAATAAATGCCAATTTACTCATAAACTTATGACCTTCAAAAAATGTTATTATGTTTAAATCCGTATCTAGGTTGGTTTTTTTGTAATAACATATTATACTGAAGCTAATACAGTATCTTCAATAAACAGTGTGTTTTAAAAGTCCCGGAACGGCTTAATATTTTTTTAACCAACATAGATACGATAGTACAGTTTTATATCTAAATATTTATCATTAAAACGTACCTTTTTAAGGAATTGTCAATTTTCTTCTCCAGGGGGACAGCCCACAAGGAGTAAGAAGAAAATCTTTAACATAAGCATAGGTTGATAGGCCCATCAAATTTTAGGTCTTTACAAGCAAAATACAATGCCGCAAATTTGAACTCAAACGGACAACCGAGTAAAAAATGACAGCCATTCAAGAATGAATAATGTTCTTTCATATTACAGTATTAAGGGCAATTAAAATGGTCATTCTGTAACATGTCATTTTTTAGGCTTTACATAAGAATTATTTTGTATAGGGCCTAAAATAGTAATAGGCTAAGCAAGTGGAAGACTTAACGAAGAAAAGATGTGTAAACTGATTTACTATAAAACTCAAAAACAGTAATTTACGCAAACATTGTTTATGGTATAATTAGTAAGGACTGTAAAAATTGCAGATCATGCTATACAGTGGTCTAGATAGACCCAGGCCTACTGAAAAAGATTAAAATCTTAAAACAACTAATTTGATAACTAATAAATTTATTTAAAGAATTAAAAATAATAAAAATCAATAAACTCAAGTCAAACAATATCACAATTAATTAGGCAAAAAGGAACTCTTTAACTAATATATAGAAATTATATTAAATCATTTAAATCAAGTACCAAGTAAAAGTAAATGTCAACTTGGCAACATAAGCAGAGACATTAGTGCCCTAATTAATTAGCAACACAAGTCAATGTCTTTGAAACTGCAGGGTCTTTTTCTCAGAAGGAAGGGTAGTAGAATGTAAGCAAAAAACTATTACTCTCACCAGCCAGGCCCAGGGGCACTCAAGGTCATAGACCCTCCCCCACCCCTCTTACACCACCCGGTTGCTCCAATTGCTGACAAAATTGTGCAACTAAACAAGGAAGTTAGTAGAGACAAAAACATATATTTCTTTATTCAAAAACATTAAACTGTTACAGATTATTTTCAAACAAAATTATTTCATGGTAATTTGTGTCTTGTAAATATATTATTTGATGCCGAACCAGACGATGAGAAGTGTTGTTACTGAATGACAAAAAAGGCTATTGGAAAACAAAAGAACAATTAGGTATATACTACAGATCTGTACACTATATCAGCTATTTCTTTTCTTTATAATTTATTATGTAAAATACTAAAATATATTTTTAATAATGAAACTAGTATCTTTGGATAAATAGTCTTTCTTTTGACTTCGTTATCTTTGCACTGTTGCGTCACGGCTTTTGACAGTAAATGACTGGCTCTGGCTAGTGGCAGTGCGGCAATTGTTCTGTTGTCTATATCAAACTTCGTGAGCAAACTTAATATTTATTCTCATTTAATAAATTACTAGTATTTTTTGGCCCGACCCGACCCGCTCTCTCGGGCCATTTGCTGGCCCGACCCGACCCGAAAAATTCGGGGACCCGCAGACCCCTAATACATATAACTGATCACCCTTTTTAGAATATTTTATTTTAGAGACAAGTTTTCAAAAAGTGATTTTTAACAATAATTTTCATCCAATAGCAACTTTAATCACTCACACACTCTCTCATCTCTCTCTAAACTCCCTTTTACCGCGCTCGGTAGAAATTGTCTTGGTCTTGATTGGGGAAATGTTAGGATTGAAATTTTGCTGATATTTACCTCCCTTCTCCCTTCTCCCTGCTCGGTTCGGAGTATTGATCGGGGAAAAGATTGATAGTTTGTCACCACTTTAAGTTATTCCCTAAGTTAAGTTTGACTTGGTAAAACAGATTGTGTATTATTGGGATTGAATGTCTAGTTGTATTGATAGTCAAAGATTGTACATAACTGCAAATATTCTGTGTACAATTTTGTAATATACATAAATAAGCAGACAAATTCTACACAGATGAAGATCTACACAGTGTTTGAAAACATTTTTATAATTTAGTTGTACCCCTCTAATTTACATTGTCGGACTTCATTAAATATATGATTATCAACGAACAGTAAATACTAATTAATTGCAACTTGGTTGGCTACAACAAACGTTTCAATAGTTTTTTGTAGACCTGTCGGGCGAACAATAGCATAGATTTTTGGACAAGATAGCACTAGTTGGCGGTAGGGGATTAACTTCCCACCCTACTTTTGGGGAATTTGGACGAGAAAGCACTTGGAAAGATGGCATGACACCAGTTTGGGAAGCTGTAAATTCTTACAATTTCTCATAAAATAATTAACAGTACAGTTTTCATAACATCCTGATCTAAAGCCGTATACAGTATTGTTCTTTTACAAATATTGTTACTTTAAAAAATATTGTATTTGTTCACTAATAATTTTTTTCAAACACTTAAGAAAAAGCTGGTGAAATTGCAATTGTCGTGTAATAGTTATCAGGGTTTGATTTACTGCCTTTCTTAAAAGTGGTTTAATTTCACAAATTTAAGTTAATATGGATAAATTACTCTTTGTAAACATTGGTTTATTATTAAATTTAGGGTTCTGCAATAATGTTGTTGGGGTTTCTAATCAGATTTATTGGGATTTACAGTAAGAAGAGCTTACTAAAAGGAATTCATATACTGTAATTTTAAAATCCAATGTTTACATCACTAAAATAAGATAAACAAGGATTGAAACTAAACTTTTATTGTTAAGCAGTTTAAAGCCATTTTTTAATATCATTCTCCATCTTCTAGAATTATTTTCTACCTACATTATTTGGTACAGTGTTTTATGTGTTGTGCTGATCTTAACAAGGTCTTCCTGTCGTGTATGGTGTAATTTGTTATTTATTGATTTGTTACAAGTACTGTATGTAAAAACAATATTGAAAAAACACACTTTTACAGATAGCTGAAGGGCTTAAGCTACTGGCATCCAAAACAGAAATCAAGAAAAATCTCAGTTCCATTCATTATATAAACTGTCATGTAATCTTGGGGATGTATCAGAAGTTGAGTAATTGGAACACGCACAGTGACCAGTATGTGCACAGCCCATCTTGCCACATGAGTTTTCTCAAAGCACTCAGCCATCTGTTATACTTGACACAACAAGAGAAGTGGAGTAAGTAAAAGTTGATTACTTTTAGTAGTGCCTCCCCTCCTACAAGTATTTGAGTATTCATTTAAATTCCCACTGAAATGGTCATTCTATTGTAGTCATTTTCTGCTTAAAATCGTCTTGCAAGGCCGGGCGCACACCTGATGCGGCACGGCACGGCGCGACGTTTTGGCTTAAGGCGCCTTATGCGACTAGATTTCTATTATTTCAAGTGGGGGTGCCGCACACATCGGGCACGGCAAGGCAAGGCAAAACAGCGCCGTATGGCGCTTTGTTCTGCCTTTTCAATTTTCGTCTTTCGGGCAAAAGGCTTGAGGCAAAACAATGTGCGAATGCGCGAGGATCGACACCACGTTCAGCGCAGTGACAGCCCCTTTCAAAATCAGTGTGCACTTTCAACGATTAGTAATTATGATTTTTTCCGGATCTGCTCTTAGTTCTGCAATGAATGGTTTCAAGTTCCTTTTTTGGTTGATGGGATGCACCCACGATTCTCTGTTAGGGAGATCATCCATTACATTCATTAGGTACCATCATTGACTATATAAACACAACAGTCAATGGTACCATATAGCAGCGATGGCAGCAGCCTCTTCTTCGCCTTCTGCATCCATTCTCGCAAAATGTGTAGTACAAAGTGTCACAAAATGTACAAACAACCTCATAACACACAGTATCTCACTTTACTGAAACCATGGGATTCACCATGTGGGTGCTCAAGTCGCCTTGCCGTGCCGTGCCGTATGCATCTCAAATCTCCATCGGGCACGGCAAGGCGAGGCAAAGACGTCTCGCCTCGCCTTGCCGTGCCGTGCTGTATCAGGTGTGCGGCCGGCCCAACAGTTAACCTTTTATTAGTGTCTTTGATTCTAAAACACAATCAGCGATACAAGGAGTTTTTTCCCCGGTTGTTAAAAAATTAGAAACAATGCAATTTTATACATACAGGTATTATATTATTACAAAAAGGGACCGTCCACAAATTACGTAGCGCCCAAGGAGGGGGGAGGGGGGGGGGTCCGGCTTAGAGTTACGAGAAGGGGGGAAGCGTTTTTCCAGATCGTTAAAAGTAAAAAATCTGTTTTTCCAAAGTACCAAAATGATAAAATCACAAAAAAAACACAGTTTTTTAAGGATCAACCATTATTATATACTCACAAAGTGTGTTTAGTAAATTATATTATACACTATGATCAGCAAGTTATCAAGCTCATAAGCTGCTCACGAAATGTACATTAAGCATATGCCCAGTTAGAAAACGTGAGTTATACTAGTATCATTGACTATATACACTATGTATTAGGCTATATTTATATAATCGATGCTTGTACCATCTGGAAAATCTGGTAACATCGCTCTCGATCTGACAACATGGCAGCGAGTGATAAGCCTCTATCATTCAGCTAGTGGGGAGCAAGCTGGTCTAGTGGTTAGAGGGGTCTTCGGGTACTTTGGTCCTTGTGGTTCCGGGTTCAAATCCCACCAAATCACCAATTAATTTTATCTAAGTGATAGTGCCGCAACTCCTAAGTCTAGCCTGAAGCAATGTGTAAAACAATTCCGGGCTCATGCCTAGAATCTTAGGACGAAAAAAACCATTCAACTAATGCTACTAGTTGTTAGTTGAACACGTCATTTGTTGTGAAATGCAAAAGGCACACTATTTTGGATAATAAAACGATTACGAATTAGAGATATCCAAAATTTCGGGTCGGTTTCGGTTCGGTTCGGATATCCATCCGAACCGATTTAATATCCTACACTATCTGTTAAATATCCAATATAAGGCTACTTAAATCATCATTAGTTTCCCACGACGTAATGATTTTAACACCACTCGTTCCCATCGACGTTACAGCGGTCGATGAGTCATCGTCTATGACACAAAACTAAAACATTCATATCATATTGTTGCCGTGGAAAATAACCGACACAACAAATAGATACAGCAATGACAATCGATATACGAAGGTGAACATCGACGGTTGACCTATCGATGCTCATCCCTATTCAATATGTACATCTGCTACCAGCTGACCGGTCTATATTTTGGCGTGTGACGTACGGTCGGTTGTTTTCATTCGGTTGTTCCCGCCTGCCCCGCCTCGTAGTGAGCGATAGTGTTTGTGAGTGAGAAAAAAACGTGGTGCAATCTGTTGAGATGGAAAGTCAATAGAATCACTCAGCTTGAAGTCGACAACAGCGATATATCGATGGTTGACACACATTAACATTAACGTTTCTGATTATTTAATATTTGCGGTTCTGTTAAAGAAAGAGATAATTGACTGTAGCTGTAAAATTTTACTTTCATTAAAAATGTTATCGTCTGTTGAAGAATGGTGGACTCAATATTAATTAATTTGTATTCATTTTTGTAACCAATTTAAATGATTAGAGATCATGGAATCCTACCGCATTACGGTCAATTGGGAACAAGGCAGTTAGTTTAATTCACTATAGACACATTAGACATTCGAAAAGAGTTCAGTCATGATAAATATTATGAATTAAAGTATTAATGCCAAACACTAAATTTTAATCTCGTGCTTATTATATTCTTTCTCAAGTTTTACTTGTGTCTGGCCTAAAATATCCGTGAGCTCGAAGACGAAGCCATATGATGCAATACTGAAATCTCATTCAGATGTTTATATGTCTGATATGTTATATATTTCTATGTAGGGAATTAGATTGTCTACAAAATGTATATAATGAATTTCCCATAAAGAATCTGTCGAAAAATTGTTACCCAGACTGCTTTTGAAATTTCAAAAAGAAAATTCTAAATCTTTTTATTCTTTTCACTTTACTGAAAATAATCTAAATCATTATTATCTTAATATTTCTAGAATATCCTGTTCTTTCCGAACAAAATGAATACGAGGTTGGCTAAGTTTACTTGTACGGTTGAATTTTTAGGAATTAAAAAAATAAAGGTCTGCAAAATTGCCAAAATGGGCTGGCCATTCCACACTTCTAACATTGGCTACTGCTAGGGTTAAACAGTGAATATTCTGAAAACTTAATGCACACTGAACGTACATCCATGCCCTTCTTACCCGCTTGGTACTAATCTGGTACACTGCAGACCGTTAGATTAGTCCGGAGTCCCGATAATAAAACATTTTTAATTATGGTCTCATAGCGACCCACCAAAGTCGCACCCTCAACCCACCAGTGGGTCGCGACCCATTCTTGGGGAACCACTGATCTAGATCAATGATGGTATGATTAGTTCTGGAAGAATGTATAAAGTAGATAATTTGCTGTGCACTCACTATCATCATTATACATGATATATTTTATTCCATTAATTATGAAATATTAAATAATTATGTTGTTGACATTTTTCATTTTCAGAAGATTAGTAAAAAATTAAAAAAGAGGGGTCTGCGTTTTTTATAATGAGCGTTACTTTGTTGGTGCAGGTAGTTTGATGGAGGCTAGCCAGATCCAGCTGACTCTACTACAAGTGTCACATCAGCTGGGGGAAGTGAACTGGAGTCTAGAACAGCCTCGCGAGGCTCGATGCTACCTCAAGTCTCAACTGTCCATCGCTCAGAAGCTTGGTCTGCCTCTTAGGTACGGACGATAAGCTGAGTAGTCATGCTTGTTTATCAAAGTGTTGGTAACCTAAAGACTTGAAAATAATATGGCATGTTTTTAATTGTATAATTTGCTAAGCAGTTAATGCTCACTTTTAATTTCACCATTTCTTACCATTTGTAATTGGGCTGTAGATTAAAGACTCTTTATGCTTCTTTACAAAAAAGGTTGACATGAGGTCGGAGCAAAACAGAGGTGCAGACTGTTCTTTTACAAAAAGTATAAATAATGCCTCTGGCATAAATACAAATAAATTATTGCTTCCCATTATGACTGACACCTGTTTAAGAAATTCCTGTGAATGAGTTTGAGTCTTGTGTAAAAGAAAGATCTTGATTTTTATTTATGAACTTTTAAGGAACTATTTTATTTCCTGACAAAACAATATTTAATCTTTGAACAAACTTGTATCCTCCAAAAATATGAAAGAAAACTTAAAAGTTTGTACAATGCAATAAACAAGCTAACTGTACGAATAAATTTGTATTATGAATGAATGTCAAGACCAGTCGTATTAAAGACGGGTTTACAGGATGCCAGTTGGTGAGAAGCTATGAAATTATTGGCTTTTATTGGCTTTGTGTAAACACTTTCATGCCAATCACCTTGCCAACTGCCCTCACAATTGCCCGGAAATTTAGTTGTCTTCGGGAGTAGACTGAGGACAATGGGGAGAACAACTGGTAAACACAATCCCGTAGTCACGTGATGACTATTGGCGAAGACAACTTTCTCACCAACTGGCATCGTGTAACCCCGGCTTGAGTTGAACATTTTTTGCAGCCCTCTGAGTAAGGTAGTGGTTAATCAGGAGGTAATTGCTAGACAAATATATTTGACAGATCGTCCCAGCTTCTTCTGTTGCTGGCATGGGTGGACCTACACACTGGTATGATGCCAGATTGTGCTGTTAAGCTAGAGGGGTTAGAAGTTTTGCTAGATCTCCAAGGAGCTCCTGCTGTATATGAGGCTGGTACAGACAATTCAACAAAGCTCAATAAGGTAACTACTTGTTGTTTTTAAATTTATGATTTTGAATTAGTTTTCTGCTGTAAAATAAATTGATACCAACTCAAAAGTTGACAGTTATTTATTAATTCATAATGTATACATATCATGATAATAATATAATAATAAACAATCATAATAATAGTAATTCATGTGTGATGCAACCAATTTTAAGGAGGGTAAAAACGTACTACAGTTAGACAAACAGCAGAACTGGGTCTCTGTGTTTTCATAGTTTAGACTATGTGTAAAAGAATGGAGGCCTAGTTTCAAACACAATAAAGTACAAATACACATTCATACGATATATGATGTTTTTATTTATCTGAAGCTTCGATTAAATTAAAACAATTAATCAGTTAAAACCGTGAATCAGCTTCGTATCGACCCCTGGATTTTATCGGTTCCTTTTGAGCACTCCGGGGAAGAAATATGATTGTGGCTGGTTCTAGGAGCAGGCCTAGCCTGTTCAGTGAAAACAATTTTGATTCCTCCTTTCAGAATTTGTGTCACACCACATGCTTCTACAGCAAGCATGGTTCGGTGTATTCTCCTTACACATTAAAATACCCCCGCCACAGCAAACCTGCAGACTAAGGCCCAGCGCACAAACCAGTTGCGCTTGCAACTGTTTTGTGACCTCGGCAATGTATTGCAGTGGGGAGGCGCACACGACGCAACTCGTTGAATGCAATTTAAAAAAAAACTTTTGAAACCAGTCACATACAACCGTTGGCCCGACGTTGCAGTTGCGTTGCAGACTTCAGTTGCACGAGACCACGGGGCGTTTTTGTGGTGTTTGTAGTATTTTGGTGGTATTTTGACGGCCGTATAGTGTTTTTAGTGTTTATAATTTCCTATCCGACTAGCTCTAGCTGCTGCAAACAGCCTAGGACTAACATTCTTGCTCAAATAAGGGTGAACCCAATGCTCTATCAGTACCCTTCGCTGTCTTCGGTATTGATAATAGCTAATAAAGTCTTCTTTGTCTGAGTCTGACATAGTAAGCGCACTTAAGGCTTTAAAACAATGTAACTGCACTAAATTGACACTCCACTGATTGCACAATAGACGCAACTGTAGTTGTAAAACAGTCACACCGTGTGCGGACAGAAGTCTTGTTTCAGTTGCAAACTGGTTTCAGATGCAACTGGTTTGCAACAGTTGCTGTAAAAAAGTAACACTGTGTGCGCTGGGCCTAAGCGAATTTCAACTTGTCTGATTACATATTTGCTCAAATATTTTATTTCCATAAACAAGACATATTTATTTCCAATTTAAATAACATTAGATTTAACAAATGCTTAGGTTTGCTGCTACAGGGAAGGTAAACAGTGTTTTTTTGACGAAACGTCAATAGTATAGGACGAAATAAATAAATTTGCCAAATTTGATCAACATATATCCATAAACAAGTAAGCTACAACAGTTTTCATTGTCTCCATAAGAATAACATGGGAATTTTAAATTTACACTTTTTTGAATTTTCTCTGTAACGAATAGGCATACAACAATGCTTCAATATACTAAATTATTTATTTTTTTAAGCTCTACAAAATGGTTGGGAAAGAAATTCCAAAATTTTTTGTTTTTAAGGTCCCATTTTTACCCCATAAAACCCCCCATAAACCCCCGTTCCCATGGTCCGATCATGCTGGTTCGCGAACTTGTTCGAATAAATGTAGGTTTACACGTTTATACCAAATTTCATCAAAATCGGATAATTTTGTTCGGGTTATCGTGCTAACGGACACACACACACATATATATAGGCTATATATATATATATATAAATATATAAATCTTACTAATATTATAAATGTGAAAGTTTGTGTGTTTGTTTGTTTGTTTGTGTGTTTGAAGTTCAATCACGCATAAACCACTGGACGGATTTGGCTGAAATTTGGCATGATGATAGCTTACATTCCCGTTTAACATATAGGCATATTCTTATCTCAAAAATCCTTTCGGGCTCCGCCCCAGTGGCTCTGTAGTTCCCCATGTTAACCTTATGAGTATTCATATTTAAAGGGAATTAAAGAATTTAGTCAGCTGTTTCAACTAAAAAAGTTGGTTCTATGATATGGAAAAGCATTAAATAGTATATTTCGTACCTAGGGCCGAAAATAAGGTTTTGACGGCTTGAGATAGTTTTTAAGTTCGAGACGAAGTCGAGAACTTAAGATCGAGAGCTGCAAAACCATTTCGGTCCGTGGTACAAACGCTATTTTTCACCACACTATACCCTATTAGGCCTACCACTATTCACCACTATAATAATGCACACTGATTGTCAACACAACTACAACTTTAAGGTTATGTGAAGAAATAATTTGAGGAATCAGCAAAAATATAAATAAATAGTTGCTAGGCAACGGTGACAATAACACAATTCTATATTGCAATGTTATGGATTTTGATTGTGTATTTAAAACGCATTCATGTTTTAAGTAAGTAAGCGGACAGCTGATTTTGCGGCCCCGGCCTGTAAAAACCTGCTCGGTCCCCAAATTGGCGACAGCTGGCATGGCCAGCAAAACGTAACTTTCAGCCTCCAATTATCGTATGTAATACAGCCAAAAACATCATAGTGTGGTGAAAAAGTTATAAGATTTACCAACAGTGTGCAGCATTATATTTTTTTGCATTTGTGAAAACAGCTAATTTGAACCAAGCAGCAACAAAAAACTTTGATTCACAATGAGAACTGTCAACGTAGGATTGTTTACAGTTATGTTTATGTTTTTCATTTCATGAATAATTTAATTTGTGATATTTTGCGAATTGTTGATAATTTATTTTTCTCTATTGTTTAGGTGAAGTGGTAGAACATTATGGCTATTGTAGATGTGTAATACTATAGAATACTGTAAATTTAAAAAAAGCAAATTTTATCAAACTGTGTCCTCCCTTATTGCAAACGCAAAGCTTGAGTATAAACTAACTGCAATAAGCGTTTTATACTTATATTCCAACCCCGTACGATGGACGGGTACTCGCTAGTATATATATATATATGAATTTGAGATTGTGTCAACCAAACAGACGGTTGTTATCAACCATTGTTTCTAAGTGTTATGTTTTTGGATGTACATAATACCTTATCGTTTAGTAAAGCACTTATTCATTTCATTTCATTTCATTATTTGAATTTGAACGGATGGTGTTTTTGGACTCTGGGGACCTCAAAACGAAAAAGTAAATCGATCCCGGGTCCAGGTCTTGAGACCTACGGTAATAGCTTATTCCCTATATGGGAAATTCGCTAAAATGTGACTTTCCCTAATACTTCAACATTTTAATGGTCACACACAAGACTGTGGTTGCCCAAAGTTCTGATTTTTTGAAAATGTTGTACATCTTCAAATTATTCAAGAGAATGACCCTCTTCTCTTCTGAATCAAATAAATAAGAAATCATAAATTTTGTCAGGTAGTCAGAAACACGGCAGAGGAGCTAGACAAAACAGTCAATTTTGAGAGACTTGATTGTATCAAGAAAGAGTGTTTTTATGATTTATTGGTTGCGTAGCCTCCTATAATATTTAGGTGTGACTCCTCTATTGTATGTGTAGGTTGAGATTTACGATCCAGAGTTTCTGAGTCATGCCAAGCTGTTTCCTGGTTGTGACTGCTTCTGCTGCAGCTGTACTGAGTATCAGCGACTGGTGATGGAAACACTCTGCCTTCGAGCCTCTTACTGCACCAACAATGACCAACCAACTCTGGCTCTGCAGAGCTTCAAAGGTTAAACTTTATGTTAATAACTATTGATATACAGTTTTACCATGCTATTGTTATTATTAATTCTGAAATGCTGAATTTTGGTAGGATCAAAAACTGTTAATTTGAAATTTTGTTTGGACTGTGAAACCCTCTTGGTTGTTACCAAAAATATGTTAAAATCATTTTTTAATGAGGTATATTCTATACATGGCTTTAAAAATACATCTTTGAGCAATTAAAATTTTTTTAGTATAATAAACCTACAAATCCTAGCTCAGCACTCAATTTTAAACTATAAAATTGAACCTGAACAAAATAGAAACGTTGCCCATTACAGCTAAATTGAAATTGAAATACCTCACTGACTCCTCATTTAATCCTCCTAATCATTTAATTTAAGTCTTTGAAAAATCATCAAAAACAAAACAAAGAAAAACATCAATAACTAGAGTTTTCTATCTGAACCTTGAAGATATTGACAGTTATCATAACTTTTTATGACACAGTACCGCATTTTCTCATATTTTCGTTGAGTTTCTCTAAACAGACCCAAAACTATAGTGTGGCCATTTGCCCCCTATTCGGTATCTTAGAACTGCTCCCAAGATTTTAAATGTAAACTTCCATCATTGACGAATGTAGTCAAAGCTTCCATTCAATGACATGTTTTAATGTTCAACAGAAAATACTAGAGGCATTTACAAATTGAACATTTTTCAAAACTTTTACCTTGAACCAATTGAATTTAAATTCAATTATAATTGTGAAAAAGCTTTCTAACTTAGATGTATATCAATTTAGATGTGCCATTTTATGTTCTAGTGGCTTTCCGAGTTCGAGATTATCTGAACAAGTCAGAAGACTTAGAAGTACAAACTTCTTCAATCCGTATGTGGAAATGCTATGCCGATACCTTGGCATTATACAACAGGCCGCAGGAAGAAATAAACATTAATGAGAAAACATCCACTGCTCTACCATTAATTAAACAACAAAATCCAATACTACTTCAACATATTCTTCACCAAAACTCATGCCGACAAAACTTGAAACCTGGTCTTAACAAATCAATCGGTAAGTTCAATCATAAAGATACCCTACAAGTGGCCAAAAAAAAAGAAGTTGAAATTAGTAAATGTGTTGATACAAAAATTTATCGATTCTCGATACCAATACCTGAAAAATCTATTCTCAATTCTTAATTCTAAAACTATTTTTAAAATTGTTTTACTAAATTTTTCTGAATTGATTGGTTATACTACACCAATCCCTGTCTTAATGTCCTTCCATCAAGTATTTTTGAGATGGGGCGTTTTTAAGTAACTTTAAAGAAAAAATTATGCAGAAATGATACATTCCAACTAGCCAATTTAAGTTTAAACCCTACTAAACACATAAAAAAACTACCAAATTAATATTTACCAATAATGAATATTTACCAATAATATTTACCAATAATTACCAATAATTAATATTTACCAATAATTAATAAACCAATATAATTTACCAATATTTTTTACCAATATAATTTACCAATATTTTTTTACCAATATAATTTACCAATAATTAATATTTACCAATAATAAATGAATATTTACCAACAAAAATCAAAAAGAAACTGATATTATAGAGGTGTGCTAGCCTGACATTTTCAGTCAAGCCAAACTCGGGGTAATATGGTGATCATCGCCAGCGGTCGTGGAGATATCATCTTCGTCTTCTGGGATCACTGCAATCTGAAATATCTTCCTCAATTACGGAAAGATCATAACTGTCTGTGCGGTCGCAGAAAAATCATGAATATCTACTGCGGCCATGTAGACATAATCATCAACTCCAGCGGTCATGGAAATGCCATCGTCGGCTTGCGTGATCGTGTCAAAATCATTTAACATCACCCGTGGCTGTGTAGACATAATCTCATCATTGACTCCCGCGGTCATGGAAACGTCATCGTGTCGTCCATGACCGCGGCAATCTCATGAAAATCTTCTGCGGCCGTGTAGACATGATCATTGTCTCACGCTATCAGGGAAACGTCCGCAATGGCGACGGTGTCAAAGTTTAGGCCTACTATTTACAAGAGACTTTATGTGGGTTGAATGCTGAAAATTTATAGATTGGCCATTCAAGATGCCCCTTTGCGCATGCGCCAGACAAAACTCCTGCCGCGGTAGTCTAAAAAAATCGCTGAGCAGGCGGACGAGGGCGTGCGTTAGTGTGGTGTGACTTGGCACATTTGATAACATGTTGAGCGATCTTTCAAAATTCGCTCCCGCCGCAGGAGCGAGCTCGATGTGACTTGGCCTTAACAGATTGAGCCCTAAGGGCCCTAACAGGTTTTGTATGCATATGTACTGGGCATTTTTGTATTATTTCAAACATTTTTAACTTTTTTTACTTTTATTAAAAACACCACAATCCATACATCATTTTAAAGAGGAAATCAATAGCTTTAAGAAAATGTAGGCTAATATATTATAAGGTAGATAAAAGAAAAACTTTTTAAATTTTTTTTTATAAAAAAACAATGAACATCCAAAAGTGTAGTTTTTATTAAACTTAATAAGCGATGACAGGAGTAGTATTAAGATCCTCATAGATAAACTTTGTGGACAATAGCACAACGAATAAAACAATATTACGCTATGGAAAGTTGTATCATCCAATTTTTACAGCAGTCTACTGTAGACATGCTAGGGCAAAGACGGGTGCCGAGCGTGCGAGCGAGGACGGGGAAACAGCTGATTTCCTGATGTTCCATACTCATAGGCTAGTTAGTTAGTTGTGAAATTGTCTGCTAGCCACTGACTTTACACAGGCATCAATCAGCAATCAGCGTACTACCAGTGGCCTATTACCATTGACTATATAAACACTATTTTTAAAGTTTATATAGTCAATGCTATTACTGAATACGATACTACAGTATACAAATTGTGACAGATATATGAAATGTAGAAAAACGTAACGTTAAAAAACGTGTATCTACTTGCTTGCATGGCATATAACAGGTGAAAAGGAAGGTTTTAGGACAATCGGGCACAGTTCTAGCCGTTAGAAATGGCTTTATAAAGTCACCATACGGCTTTTAGGAGATATGGCTTCGTAGTCTACAGCCTATGTTTTGAAATTCATGAATGCAAGTTCGCCATAGTTTGATTTTTTAAATGTCTACTTGCTCATGACAAAGACAAATAACAGGTGAAACGGGAGGTTTTTGGACAGTTGGACACAGATATAGACATTAGGCTTTAGAAAGTCAGTAAACAGCTTTTATGAGGATAGGGTCGTAGCCTACAATATGTTTTGAGATTTATGAATGCAATCGTCATAGTTAGTTTTAAAAATGTCTACTTATTCATGACAAATAAATGGGGAAATAGGAGGCTTTGCACTCAGTCCTAGACGTTAAAACTGGCTGTAGAAAGTCACCCAACGGCTTTTAGGAGGATATGGCCGTAGTCTACAGTGTGTTTTGAAATTCATTAATGCAATCGTCATAGTTTAATATTTAAAATGTCTATTTGCTCATGACAATAACAGGTGAAATGGGAGTTTATGGACAATTGGGCAAGGTTTTAGGTGTCAAAAATGGCTTTAGAAAGTCACCAAACGGCTTTGAAAATTCCAAATTTTCCCGGGGGAGGGCCTTATTGGGGGGCGCTCCACACCCCCCAAGCCCCCCGGTAGCCCCCCTGACAAGGTCCTACATTTGTCCCCCTGAAAGTTTTGATGCTGACAACGCCAATGCTTATTACCAAATAAAAAAATAAAAAAAAGATTTGAAAGAAAATAATTGATATTTTGTACATTATTATATATTATATAGGCCTACATATGGTTGCCATTTCAGAATAAAGTATTAACCCCTTCGCTTAAACTTATTTTTACACCTAACCGGGCCAAAAAAATGAATTATTTCTGTGTAATTTTACACAATTTACAATATTTTTACCTGCACTCAGAATTTTGTATTTGTATATCAAATACTGTTATTTTTCTAATCAGAATTGAATGTAGATTTAAAAAAACAAACATTTTATTGGTTAAAAGTATTTTTGTTATTTTTTATATCATATAATACAAAACAAAACAAAAAAATGTTGCCTTTTTTAAAAATTTTTGACTATAAAAGTTAAAAATATCTTACTGTTCTGCCTTAAAATACTAATTGACATGGGTTCACGCACACTGGTTTTGAGTACAGTAAAGTACCACCTTCCATTGCATACTATCTCTTACCGTATATTATCTTGTCTCCGTGGCCACTGAAACCTCAAGAGGATTCTGGCCTCCCATTCTCTTCTATCCCCCGCCTCTTCTAATGTAGATCCCAGTCTGGAGATTGTCACCAAAATAAAATTACTGATACAATACACAATTTTAAGTAATCCTAAATAAAAGAAAAAACCATGTAAAATAAATGATAATATCCACTGTGTTAAATATTAATTCACATTCCACATAATACAACTATTGTTTCCTGACATAATTAAATAAATTGTCCAATCTTTATATCAATCTTTTATATCAATTTTCACTGTATTAGGTGCTAAATAAATAAGTTATTTCATAACTTATATTGGAGATATTGGCAATTAATAATGAAATGTATAATTAAATTTACAAGTTCAACAAGGCCAATACATAATAATTTTATTTTATTTACTAGCGCTTTCAGAAACTAGGGTTCCATCTTCAGGCACCAGTACACTACAATGTTACCTGAAGATGGAAACCTAGTTTCTGAAAGCGCTAGTAAATAATTCATTCATTAAGTTATACCATGATAACTTACAATGGATATCACTTCCAACGTCTTAAGTTACAGCTTGTGACACTTAGGCCCCCCATACTCGTAACGACGTACACGACGTGGACTGTTCAGGCCGGGCCGGCCGGCCGATCGTTATGTGTATGGGGTCGTCTTCCGGCCGCCGGACGACCAAATTGGATGGGATTCCCATCAGTCGTCGTCCGGCCAACCCCCGCCTTCAGGCCGATCGTTACGTGTATGGGGTCGCCGGCAGGCCGCCGGAAGGCTGACAGTACAGTAGTAGCATAATTTTTTATTTACGTTCATTTTTAAGGTCAGGCACGGTCATTGACATAACCTAACTTTATTATCTGTTCAGTCTTTGTACTAATATGGCTACGTGGACTAATCAGCATGTGCTAGCCTTTATAGAAGAATACAGAGAGCATGAATGTCGGTGGAGGGTCAAAACAAAGGCATACCACAACAGGGATTTAAAAGATCCAGCTTATAGCAAGCTAACCAAAACGTTTTTGCCGTACGAAAACTGACTGCACACTTGCCACTAGGCGGAGAAATTTCAGTCCGGCCGGCCGGCCGATCGTTACGTGTATGGGGGGCCTTAGGCTGGCACTTGGGCCTAGCGCGGGAGGAGGATGGAGGTAAGGAAAGACCGGACTGCAAACATTTCTGCTGACTTACGGGGTTGACTCCCCGTGTTTCATGTACTTGAGCGCTTTCATGTGAGTCACAAGGACAGTTGACACAACCCGCATGACGGCACATGATGTTTTTGAACTAGAGGCTAGTAGCAATCGGTCAAGTGCCAGCTTACGTGTCACAAGCTGTAAGTTTCCTAATGTTTAAACAATCCAATGACTGAATATAAAATATCTTATTATGATTTGTTTTTTTGTTTTTTTTAGGACACAGAATAGTAATAGAAACAGAGGAAAATGTATCCATTGTTAATACTCCAACCAACAAAAAGGGACAAGTATTTGTTGCTAAAACTCCTCTAAGTGTTGTTGATGGCAACATAACACCAAAATGTATTAGGCAAGTAAGAAAGTTAACCTTTCCATCCAGTGGCGAAGAAAATACACCTCCGCCACATAAGGCAGTGAAGCCTAAATCAAAAAGAACCATCAAGCCACCTACAAAGATTAAAATAGAAACACCTCAGACAGCAAACAAGATGTTGAAGATCAACAAAACCCCTTTCACAATTGTAGATGACGATGGAAATGCAGTTGGAGTTATCAGCTCCCAAGTGAGTTCAAGGGCAAAGAAGAACACAGAAGTTAAACCTAGTTCCTCTGTTCACAAAAAGCTATTTAAGTCTGATCAAATGTCCACTGACAAGAAGTTGATTTCATCAATTGTTTTTAAGTCCCCAGAAAGGAAAAGTAACAGACAAAAAGTCTATGGAAATAAACAATCAAATCCTCCTCTAGATGACAGTTTGAAAAAGCTGGAATCCACCAACAAAAATGTTATTGAAGACAATTCTGATTCTAATTCAGAAATATTTTTATTTGAGGAATTGAAAGAGGAAGTTAATAATATCAAACATTCTATTCCAAAATCTACCTACAGCAAAAGTTCATTGAAAAGAGTAACAAAAAGTGTGATGAATTCAAGAAGCCATCCAGGAAGTAGTAAAGTAGATGTGGAAAGTGATGGCAGCGTAGTTGAAGGCACACCAACCCCACCTGGTAATAAAAAACTAACTCTACGAACATTGAGGCCAAAACGAACAGTGACCAAATAAAATAAGAACTAGAGTCTCAATAATGAGTCTCAATAATTTGATCATATTGATCGTAATTGTAATGCTGCCTTATTTGTCTATTTACTTGCAATGGTTTTTAATGTGGGTTTTATCTAGTAAAATTATGTAAATATATACATTCCGAGTGTGTTCAATAACTTAGCTAGATTGTGTTTTGATTAATCGAGCCACAATACATCATATCTCTATCATCCTGATTATACCCTCAATTAATAGTGGGAAGTATGTGGTAGTTTTTTTAAGTATACTTAGCTTGCACTGTTGAAAGAAAACAAAAAAATATTTTAAACTACTATTGCTGGTCATACTTTAAATTTTGCCACATAAATTCTCCCATTTCAAATAATGTTATTAGTACAACAATTTTGCCATGGACATTGTAAGGTGGTATTAATTAATAAAACAGATTCAATAACTTATTTTATTTAGGCTTTAGGAACAACAGCTCATTCAATGACAACAATAATGTCAGTCAAAGACAGACAATAATATACAAAACATGGATAGTCTACAATCCAAAAAAATAACGGCTTTAGAGCTTTACATCTTAAAATGAATTTCAAACTGTACGTTGATATAAAAGTTAAGTAAACAGTTTTGGGAAGACCGAATGAGCATATACAAATAATAACCAGGACACATTTATTTGTAATAAACAATGTTTAAAATACTTTTTGTCAAAAATTGCTTTCATAAAAACTACTATTCCATTACCATTAATAAACTTTATGTACATCTTATATTCCTGCAAAGTTAAATTGTATTAGCGTTTTTATTGCTTTATATTCAAGTAAATAAAATAATCAGGAAAACTTGTTTTAATTGTGAAATCACGTGCTTTTGAGAAGAAATTTGTATTTGTTACTTAAATATGACGAGTTTATAGAGCATCAGCTTTGAAACAATTAAAATTATGAAAACTGTATTGATTTTAATATCCCATTTCTATGTGTCAAATATGTTGTTCTAGAAAACTAGAGCAAATTATGATTTTATGGGCAAATCTATCTCTATTGGGCCTAGTATTATTATGTAAAATCTTAATCTATAAAACAAGAACTACTTGTCAAAATGTGATTGCTTCAGCCAGACTGCCTTAGTATAGGCTCTAAACCTATCAAGACCTTAACACTAGTATATTGATGCTGAGAGTAAATAATAATACTTCTAATCTTTTCTACCCGACCAAACACACTACACAAATAATCTATCTCCGCCCAAACCAACTACTAATTTTTGAAAAATTAGCCTACAGTATCATTAAAAAAGATTGTTAAATAAAACCATTATATCAGGATGTTTTGTGTATTATGTTTAGGCTCAGTTAAGTTGATAGCTCCAAAAACGTATGTGAGACCATTTAGGTCTAATTAATTAAACCACTAAATTACAATTTATGTAAACATTGATGAATAATATAGCAAAATAAACACTGCCTGAAAATATGTTCTATGAAGGTTTTAACAAATTTATTCACTCCACTACAGTATCTACTTAAAATACTACTCAATCAATAAATTAAAGGCTTTAGAACAAATAAAATTCTACAAAAATACATAATTAAGATGCATACTGTTAAAAAAAAAAACATCCATGAGTTTGGGAATGAATAGTATAGCCATAGTAGCCTTCTTAGAAATGATAAACATTCAACAATTAGAGAACAGGTGTCTAAAAACTTTGTTGTAGTCAGTTTTTTTTTGTAAGTTAACTTTTAAATTTGTTATGCTATTGAATCAATTTGCACCCCTTGGACATTGATCAAATGTACCCCTTTCCCGATTACGAATACATTTTCATGGACTCCCATGATTGCAGCAAATCAAATAATAATCTATACTATTATCAAATTGAGGTGGTGTCTGTTTGTCTGTGCAGCTGCCATGACTAAAATACTAATACATAATTTGCCTCCAGGATTGATTTAATGACTTAAAATGAGGTTACTAACCTGTCGTCAATCAGTCCTATATTGTCGTTGATGACTAGTTTCGGGGCTAAAACCCCATTTTCAAATCTTCTCTTCAGTCGTCATATGTCAAACTTCTGCTTGTGCAAGAAGATATGTTTGACATACGACGACTGAAGAGAAGATTTGAAAATGGAGTTTTAGCCCCGAAACTAGTCATCAACGACAATATAGGACTGATTGACGACAGGTTAGTAACCTCATTTTAAGTTAAAATACTAAACGGATACAGCCAAAATTAAACACACCGATAGTCCACATATCTAGGAATGTCATAGGCCTATTCACTTCCCTGAGTTTCTCTCAGGCTACGCCCCTTGGATCTCGAGAGTTTTGAGGTGAGGTTTTCAAAAGTAAATATTAATTGGTCTCCATGGGAGCATAAGAAAATTCACTACTCCCCGTTCGTGAACACATCATCATTGCCTCCCGTGGTCACAGAAATATCTTGGAAATCCCCCTCAGTTGTGAAGTCGTCATCATCGCCTCTCGAGATCACCGCACTGTCTTGACATTCCCCTGCGGTTGGTTGAGAAGAAATTATATTGTTGCGACAAACAACTGTTAATCATGTAAAACCAAAATCGTGTTGTAAAGTGTTTGCAGAGAGTACCAGTTTAAAATGTTTATTTATGGCTACTTATAAAAAAACTTTATAATTTATCAACTACAATGTGTAATACCCCTGTTTCATCAAACCTGCAGACTTAGCAAATTCCCATTTGCCTGATTTGATTTTCAATTAAATCTATTTCAATAACCTTAGGATTAACAAGGGCCTAGATTTGCTGCTACAGGGAGGTTAATAAATAGTGTTTTTAGTAAAATATTAATAGCTTAGTATAAAATAAACAAATTGGCCAAGTTTGATAAAACTACTGTACATCCATAAACAATCAAACTATACTAGTTTACTTTTCTCCATAAGAATAACATGGGAATTTTAAATTTTAAATTTTAAAATTTTCTCAGTAAAATTCTCTGTTTCCCCTTTACTCAACTTGACTTTTTGGAGCTAGCTGGTTTTAAATTAACAGCTTTTACAAAGGGGAAACATAGCCTAAGCCTATAGGCTAACTTCAAACCTAGTGAAGTACCTACAACATAATAAACAAATTTCATTCATTAGTTCCTTAGTTGTTAGAGTTGAGTTTTGCTGGTTACAAACCACCTTTAATAGGTATTTACCGGTACTATGCTGCAAACTGGTCATATAACTTAAGCTTAGTGTAGAAAGGAATGAGCACTAAATTTGGTGTTTCCACGTGATTTGGTTGGGCCAGGGCTACTAGAAATAAATTACTTCCCACAGTTTTGGATGTTTTTTCTGGACATGTATAAAACTGTTTTTTTATAAACGAATGTTTAAAACAGTAAGTAGTATGAACAGAGCTATTCTTTGAAAACAATTTCTGATGCTCTTAGATAAACAAGTGGATATTTTTATTTTATCAAGTTCAAGGTACACTTTATACTCTGAACACTAAATTAATTGTCTGCTTTACTAGATACATTAAAACAATATCAGTCACGCAATCATTCGTTTTAAAATGAATGTCAAGACTATAACACAAAAAGAACAGACAACAGCTAACATGAGCAACATAACAAATGAGTATAAAACAATGTAGGTATTACGTAATTAATTAATCAACTATTTTGTACTAGCACTAACAAGACTTAATGTATCACATTCTTTTATCATAACAATCCAACTTAATGTAAGTGATTAGACTACAACATGTACATCACAGTTAATAAAATAAAGACAATTGAATTATTTTAAATAGGTTTGTAACAACACTATACATAGTTAAATTAATTATTAAACAAATGTTAACATTTAAAAATTAAAAGCTCACTCAAGTATGACACATTCAAACACAAGATGCCATAAAAACTCCTCATACAATAGGCCATTAGTTAAAAAAGTTTAGACATGTTAAATTTTATGAACATATTATTTATGTCACATAACTTAATTAAAACTCCAAATTTCAAACCTATTTAACTAAAAGTATTTTTTGAAATAAATTTATTTATTCCAAGTGAATTTTTTCTCAGCAGATGGTTTTGTGCATAATACCCGAGTTGAATTTTTTTAAAGTTTTCTTTTCATTTTTCGTCAGTAAAAAAGACAAAAAACCAAATAATTTAGACACACCAACATTGTCATTTTTGTTACTGTGATAATTATTTTGAACTTACTTAGTACAGTAAACCTTCGATAGTTCGACACTCCTTGTAGTTCGACACGGGCTGAGCTATTTTATCAAGGGATATTTAATGGTTACTATTGTAATGTAAGCTGACTTGAACTTTAATTTGTCATTTATTGTTGACTTGAGACTAATGAACAGTGGTCGCCATTTCATTGAAAAGTATTAAAAGAAATTGTTGAGCTTTTTAGTATTTAATAGATTAGGGTGATTTCTATATAGGCCTAAAACTTGTGTTATTACTTTCCTGTATATTAAACTCCATTTACTCCCTATCTATAGTTCGACATTTCGATAGTTCGACACCCCTTAAGTCCAAGAAGTGTTGAACTATCGAGGTTCTACAGTAATGACAATTTATTTTCTTAGTATTCTGTTTGATTCCCTAGATATGTGTTTGATTATTACTTTAGTAATCATTATTGCTATTAACTGCAATTAATTATTGGTAAATTTTTACTTAAACCAATGTGTTGATTAGCATTTAGATTTACAAAAATACCTTAAACTAAGTTGTTACTGTTCACTTGCAAGTTGCAACCTAAAGAATATTAAGATAACTGGTAAGTAAGAAATGTTATGCCACACTGCACTGTTTTAACGAACTTCCCACGCAAGGATTGAGTCCAGAAAACAGCTGTTTGTCGTCAGCTTAATCAAATGGGGTTTCATTACGTACTACTGTACTGTCCTTTAGTTGGTGGTTATATAAGGATTTCTAGGAAATTAGTAGCATGGCGTAAAATATCTTACGTCACTCGTCCAAAATGTGTTTACCGGACTCGTATGGTAATCCCGTACTCGACTTCGTCTCGCACAGGAACAACCCGTGCAAATATGAAGTCGAGTACGGGATTACCAAAAGAGTCCGCGTATGGTAATCCCGTATTAGACTTCATCTCGCACGGGAACAACCACACTCGGTAAACACCTAATTTCAGGACTAGTAATGTAATATACTATTACTAAAATGCCCTGCCTTTAATTATTGACTTTACCATATACTTCCAGATATTAATTTAAAAATTATCAATATAAAGTTATAAGCTGGTTGTTTATGTTATATTGGATTTTCAGTTGGATAAAGTATTAACATTATAATAACAGAGGGTTATAACAAGCCATTCAACTAGAAATAACATAATTTTAATTGAATAATGAAAATAAGTGATTGCTTTTTAATGGTGAAATATTAAATCAAAGGGTTATCATAATAACTTACATATAAATTCCAGCTCAACTTGAAACATTCAAACATGTTATTTATCTTGGGCACTTATCATAAAGTAAGTGAATATATGTTATTTTATAAATAGACTATAATTATGTTTTTTTTTTCAAATTTATGAAAAATTTAATCTCATTATTAATCAAACATAGTTAATATAACGTACAGTAGTATTAATAAATCATCAATTATCAATTAATTATAGGTCTATATGAAATATAACATATTAACACCTAAGTGAGGTGAATTCTATTCAAAATTTATATTTAAAAAAACTGTAAATAGACCTTAAGAAGCTTACTTGACTGATTTTGAAGTCTGAACCTAAGAAACCGTACTTAGGCTAATGTCATTTACTTATTATAAAAGATGGATGGATACTTATTTGATTAGGGAAGGGGAGGATAATGCACATATTTTTAAGTGTGCACAGCATGCAATGGAAAAATTAAATTTCTTAAGAAAATAAATATTACAAAAATATTCATCCATTCCAATTGTAAAAAGGAATAATATTTATAAATAAATTGAATATTATACAAATGTCAGGTTGACATTCATCTTTGACCAGTTGCCACTAACACTTCTGTAATAACACTTTGTTCAATATCTTCAGACACACAACACACAGGCTTCATCAAATCTTGTGCTTAAAAATCCCATTAAAGCAGTTCTTATACTGTGTTTCACTATCACAATTTAAATTATTTCAAGAAACTTCCCTCAATTTTACTGTTAAATGATTTGTAAACAGGTGTTATTTTGGAGGATACTTTGAATAAGATGTGAGTTTAAAGTATAAATATGAGTAACTTAAGGATGTCTGCAAGTTTATCCCAACATAAATGATTATTTAGCATTAGCCATAATTAATCATTCAAATTATAAAAATCAAACCATGCGCTTCTGTATTACTAATGTTGGATGATTCAGTTTGAGGTTACAATTTTATAGCAATATTTTCTTATGCAAGCTAAACAGGTGATGTGTTACGTTCCAGGGCTGAAATGCCAGATGTCATCATTTGGGGGCCGAGCAGGTTTTTACATCCCAAGGGCCAAAAAGCAGCTGATGTTTGCTTAAAAACTTATTCTATATACTCAAGCAGTGCATTGCAATAGACTGGTTTTATTGTGCTACCTAGCAACTATTTATTATTATTTCTGCTGATTCTTTTAAATATTTTTTCACATAACCTTAAAGTTTTAGTTGTTTTGACTATTACTGTGCATTTATTGTATTTATTTTCTCAATCTTGTATAGTGTGATGAAAAATAGTGTTTGTACCACGGGCCAAACACAACATGGGGGGGGTTTGCTGGCTCGAGATCATTTTTAAGTTTGAGACGAAGTCAAGAGGCTCCCTCAGTTCCCTCAGTTGTTCACAAAGTTAAATATTTAGTTTGAAGAGTGATCAACATTATTAGCTAGCAACATCATGTAATCTTACACCACTGAATTACTGCCATTAAGGTTACTTGACTCAAAAGGTTTAGACAAACAAGCCAAATTTGATTTTGGAGCTGAAGAGCTACCTATATTTACAGAACTATCCATCAGTTCCTTAGAAGAACTGAAAAGTGTAAAAATTTCTTCAGAAGAGCTGAATTCAAAGCTAAACAGCTAAACATTTAAATGTTTAGGGCTGCAAGTGGCGGTCAATTGTAGTCATACAGTATCATAATCTTGTCCATGTGTTCAGATAAAGATTTTTCAAGTAATTAACTAAAATTCATCATTCAAATTTTAAATTGTAACTTCTAACTAAATCATGCTTAAGTATAGTTTAGTGCGCAAAAAGTATTATTTTGTAAGAAATAAAAGAGTTAATAGTCAATTTTTGTACAGTTATATTGGATAGCATTATTTTGATTATAAAACATTTCTGAAGAACTATTATTTATTTTAGAAATAAAAAATTGCTAATGAAATGATAAAACAAATAAATTCTTAAGTTCTAATCAAATAGCAGTCCTGTGCTTTAAATTGATCTTTCCAAAATAAAAACCAATTCAGCACACATTATGTTTTTATAAACTTCCCTAACAGTGGTGTAGGGAAGTTAGGGTTTGGAGCACCCTGGGCCCAGGAGCAGAAATGGCTCAAGCCGCCCCCCACTGAGAAAGAAACATCACCCTTAAAGGGATGGGTAAATTTTTTAACCGGGAGTAGGTTAACAGTTTTTAGTTAAAAAAAATGTAACAGATCAATTATTGAAGAAGTCGGTTTTGGTTTATCTGTTACTCTGCAATAATTTTGCCGCGATCACAGGGTATAATAATGGTGACTCCGTGATTGTGTGGGACGTTAAAAATTCAACCGCGATCATAGGAGATGATGTTGATGTCTTGGGGTTCTTGAGGATGCTTAAGATTATGCCGTGATTATAAAGGAAGACCCACGATACGGTAATGAAAATTGTATGGTTACCTAAGTTAACACTGAACTGGCAAGTTTTCATAATACATTTTGGTATATGTAGGCCTATACCGGTAATTAATAACTAATTCGAGTGTGCATGTGCCTTAAGACTGCAGCGCAGGCCACGCTGACATGTCTCAGTGTGCATTTAAACTTTTAGGGTGGGATTCAGTTACAAATATAATACTTGATCACAGTTATTAAACAATTTATAATACTGCTATGCCATTTAATGTGCAAAATAGAAACATAATTGAAGAAAGGCCAAAGTTAGTTTTATATCTATAAATATGTACTATATTTGGAATAAAGACAACATTATCTTAATTCTCCATGGAATAACATCCCTCAAAAGTAGAGCGTTCCGCCCTTGAACCACTGCTCCACACGCTCTACCATAGCTACACCACTGTTCCCTAAGCTTGTTGCTAAAGCTATCATTAGGATCAAAGAATCTCCATAAGGCTATCGTATCTTTTGTTTTTTATAAGTCACTGGTAGTATTTTATAGAAACACTGAGCCAGGGCCGGTTCTAGAAATCTGTTATGGTACCTAAGCAAACATAGCTTCAGCCCCTTCCTTCCCCGCCCACTAAGAAACTTATGTAGTAGTAAGGATTATCTTCCGAAAAATTTAAAATTCGAGCAAATATAAATGCTTAAGACGTCTGAAACAAGCGAACGTAGATGATGGAGAGATGCCCGATGGACAAGTCCATTTGTTATTATTTGTGGTTATAGTTATTTATGAAAAACAATAACAAATCAAGAAGTGGGTGTATACGCAAGAGTCCTACCTTACATTGTACGATTTACCCTAACTCCTAGAGTACTTCAGTTTGGCGATGTAAATCAACTTTCAACCTCTTGCATTGAATATACTGTATAACACCATAAGAAGCGAACCCTTGTGGGCCTACAGGGAACACATAATGAGTGGTATAGTTTAGAGAGACAGGAGTCCCACACCGTTATTCTTGCTGGCTCGTGAGGGATGGAGATAGGGATGTGCCGATTCTCGATACCACCGATACTTGGACATTAGTAACGGTACTAAGAATCATGAAGAAAGATAAAAAAGTCGATGCCGAAACCTGTCATGTCAGCTAAGAACATGCTTTTATGAAAAATTACTGCTTTTACTGTGATTGAGCATGACGACCATGACATTTCCGTGACAGCAGGAAACGATGTTGTTTAAAAGGCCGTGTGAGATTACCAGAATTTTGCTGCGATCATGGAAGACGACAAAAATGTCAAAATAACTGAGGAAAACAATGATAATTTTTACGCACCATGGTAAATGATCAGAATTTTGCCGCGATCGCGGGAGATGATGATGTCTACAAACACATCAAGGCCTTGAGAGTTGTTCATAGTCTTACATATTCAATGTCTCTAGTCCCCTTCTTTAATATTGACCATTGGATAGCGTTTTGGTGCTCCCTTTTGCTTGGCATCCTGTGCTACCACGTACATTGCAAGTATTTTATTATAAAACTAGCTGACCCAGCGAACTTCGTATCGCCTAAGTTATAGGTTTCCCCTAAGACAGACCGATGGAAAGGAAGTACCGTTACGTTTAATTTTCAAGATGATCTCGTTCGCATCGCTCAATCACGTCAAGGTTGAAGTTCGTTCGCTACGCTCACTCACCTTTGGGTTGAAGTTCGTTCGCTACGCTCACTCACCTTTGGGTTGGAGCTCGTTCGCTACGCTCACTCACCTTTAGGTTGGAGCTCGTTCGCTGCGCTCACTTGCCTTCAGGTTAGCTCGTTCGCTACGCTCACTCGCCTCCAGGTTGAAGTTCGTTCGCTACGCTCACTCACCTTTTGGTTGCAAATTAGCTGTTGTCATAAATGTAAAAGAAATAATAGTGCTGCACCCTGTTGGTAATCCTTGTAACTTTAATGCTATTGAACATCATAGAACAGAACCAACTTGTTTAATTGAAACAGCTGTTAAGATTCATTAATTCCATTTCTCATAAGGTTAACATGGGAAACTCCAGAGCCACTGGGGCGGAGCCCTTTTAAGAATTTCGAAACGGGAAATAGCTTACGTCCGATTCGCATACCTACAGAATTTACACACCAAATTTCATAACGATCGGTGAAGTCGTTCCGGAGGAGTTTGCAGACAAACACTGTGACACGAGAATTTTATATATTAGATTATAATTACAATGTACAGTTTTTCCAAAAAAGAATATGAGAAAAATACTGGTAAGAGGGAAAGGGGTAACATTTGCAAAGACAACAGCCCAGCCATATCTATAAAAACTCGATTGGAATCATGAAGATAGAGATCTAAAACAAGATTTTGATATCGCAAGTTTCAAACATTAACAATAAAAATGTTCAACTTGAGAAAACAATCTGGTTTAGTAAATAACAACACTTCTTTTGAAATATCTGAAATTAGTATGAAAACCACAACTGTACTCTTTGGTGAGGTGTTTCATGTGACTTGTGTTCTTTAATATTGAAAGTTTATTATTTATATTATTCACAGCTTCAAATAACTAAGAAATCACCTTAGTTCCTTGGAATATTGTTAAATACAGTTTTGATTTAGCATATTTAGCATTATCAAATTATAGATTGTTTTATTAATGGAAAATACAAATTTCTATTTTTTTTTAATTACTAATGTAGGCTATAATTGACAGATATAAATCTATACACAATATTTTTCGTAGCTGGCACCTTGTTATTTCAATATATATGTTCATAATCATGGTTGTTACTTTTATGAGAGCTGAGGGCGTTAGAGTTTCAAAATTAAAGTGATATCAGAGATTTTTGTGGGATGGAAGTTTAATAGTTATACTTATATAAAACCCCCGCCGCAGCAAACCTGCAGACTAAGCAAATTTCCATTTGCCTGATTGAATTTTCTCTAAAATATCTCCTTTAAAATATCACATTTATTCCCCATTTAAATAGCAGGTTTAACGAGTACTTAGATTTGCTGCAACAGGGAGTTTTTTTTTGTGAAATGTTAACAGTTTATTAGTATAAAATTAATTTATTTTCCAAATTTTGATCAAATATGTTCATAAACAAGCAAAATACAACACATTACTTATTCTCGATAAGAATAACGTGGGAATTTTAAATTTAATTTTTTTTCTAATTTTATCCGTAACTATTAGGCGCATAACGAAGCTCCAATATACTAAATGTTTTTTAAGCTCTACGAAATGGTTTGGAAATAAATTGCAAAATTGTATGTTTTTAGGGTCAAAAATGAGAAAAACTAATTTTTACCCCAGAAAACCCCCCATAAACTGGCTCGATCATGCTGGTTTGCAAACTTGTTAGAATAAATGTAGGTTTACATATTTATACCAAATTTCATTAAAATAGGATCATTTTTGATTGAGTTATCGTGCTAACGGCCATATATATATATATGAATTTGAACGGATGGTGTTTTTTCCTCTGAGGACCTCAACACAAAAATGTAAATCGGTCCCGGGCCCAAGTCTTACCATATGAGTACTACGGTAATAGCTTTTTCCCAATATGGGAAACTCGCTAAAAAAAGATAATTTTCATTCAGTACCTATGTTTTTATCACAGTTGACATTTATGTATGTTAAGTTGGATATCTAGATACTTGTGTTAACGAGTTTGCCGATTTGTGTAATTTATTTCATAGGAATATTTCAGTTACAGTTGAAGACCTCGAGGGATGTGATTGTAGCTTCGAGAATATCCGACTTATTTTAAAACAAAGCAAATACATTTTCAGGGAATTTTTTATCGGATTTAACTTTTAAACAAGTTAGAAAGTGGTTGTCTGCCTTGATTCAACTAATTGGGAATGGAAGACTACAAATTTTTCAAATTCAACATCCATTTCATGACTTGCACCAAGAAATTGTGTACACTGTAAAACCAGCTGCTTGCCTCGTTCATCAAACATTACACCATCGTCCGTTTATTGAATAGGTACCCTACATTTCAGGCCACACAGTCAATGGTTAGGCTCCCAGCGGACCCGCACAGAAGAGCGGCGGCGGGACTGTTGGTGGGCGGGGGAGGGGGAGGAGCGGCGCCTCGACGCGGGCTGAGCAGAGGAGGACCTACGCTGCGATGTCACTCTGGGACTCTCCTCCTCCACTGACTCTGAAGATCATAGCCCGGAGTCGAAAACTCGCAACGACCTCGTGATCACATCGTCCTGCAACATACACATCGTCCTCAACTAAGTGCTTATAACAACTAAGCAGAGAAGGACCCATGCTGAGATGACACTCAGGCAGAGAACCTCCTCTACTGACACTGAAGATCATAGCCTATGCAGTCAAACAATCACAAAGGTCCATGTGAACACATCTCTCTGTCACATACACATCGTTCTCAACTAAGCGCTTAACAACTGAGCTTATTAAGGACGACCTGCAATGTTACTTTCAAACTCTCCTCCTTTGCTGACACTAAGAGGCGGTTCACGAGTACGGGGTTTCGTGGCCCGCGGTTATCGTTGATCTCGACCAATTTTAACCGACGGTCAAAAAATGGGTTCACGACATAGAGCGTTAGCCGAGATCAAGCTTAGCCGAGACCAACGCTGGCCGTCGCTCAATAGCAGGGATTAACTGGGAATTTTCGTTGGGAGGTTGGCAGCAGCCACCTGCCAGGCCGCTGCTCGCGGTCGACGAGCCACAAAACAATAGGATGACGTTGCGTCATAATGATTGGTTCGAAAATTATTATGGTATTTACTCATATCGTATAAAAGGTTATGGACTTGCACTTGAATTCATTTTATACTAAGGTTTAAGGTTACTCAATTTATCATTGAATTATGAATAATACATTTTTACTGAATTCATTGAATCGGGAAAATGCAATTATGTTTTAAAAAAGTTTAAACAAATCTTGGTAATGTTTGCAATAAAATTCGATTATCAATTATGTTCAAAAATAAGACATACTTTATCAGGTTTGCAGTTTTATCCAAACGTTCAAATTATTTAATAAAATGACTGCTCTTTTCAAAGATTTATGAATATCTTTTATGTATAAGAAATTGGTATAAAAAATCAATTTTGAGCAACAACTGGCTATTATAGGAGCCGAGATGCCTTCATACGTAAACAGTAATAAACGTAAATATAAAATGGCAAACATACAATAACATTTTATGACACCAAGATGAAGATCGTTTAAATCGGTTCACAATTGGGGCCACAAACAGCAGGCCTAAGAACTAAACCCCTAAGAACATTTGCGCGCGCCAGACGGGTAGAGCGCAGCCCTAAACATGAGAAAACATGTTTTAATTTTTAAAAAATATTTTGTTGTAATACAACGTTTTGTATATTTAACTATAGAATTTATCTTTTACCTCAGCAAATTGAAGCAATTTATTGTAAATCCCGATTTGACAAATATTAAGACATTATCAGATGAAAAAAGTCTTTCTTTAACAAATGTTAAATCACAAACATAATAACATAAACATATTATTTAAAACTTACAAAATAAAATTTGGATACTTAAATAGAATGACCTATGTTTTATATGAATTTTACGGAGGAACAAAAATAGTACTAATTTTATACAATACAAATTCTTAGACAAACCTAACAGTGTTTGATGGAACCATTATTACTTTGATATTATTCAGCTGTAATAAAAGGATTCAAAATTGCTAAAATAAATATAAAACATTAACTCAATAAGATTCGATTGCAATTCAAATTTATATAATTATGTTAAGCTATTAGTTATATTTTACTTAGTAATAATTCATTAAAATGAGGCAGGTCATAGCAAAACTGGCTAAGTGAAAATACTTAGATTTTTCAGGAAGCACAAAAAACATATATCTTTTGTTCTGTTAAAGTTATTGAGTTGTAATTTTTTTACGAGTACATTTAGTACTTAAATATCTTAGGAAACAAATATTTTAAATATTATAGCCCAAAGTGAAACACAGGTTTGTTTGTAATCATTACATCGTACTGCAACATCAACACACCATAACAGGTGTAAACCTTTTAGGAAAGAGGAAAGTTATCGTCTACCCCAGTGGCGTCCCGGGGGGGGGGGGGCTTTGGGGGCTTAAGCCCCCCTCCCCCCAAGGACCTAGGTTAACTCTTTACAAGGGTTAGAGTCAGCTGTATATATTTTTTAAAATATCATTAACTTTAAAACTATTCTTACAACAGGATTTAAATTAAATACAGCAAGGAGCACATGTTTTAAAAAGAGTATTTTTATGCCTATGCAGACAAACAGACACAGCAGGATGCATGTTCTCCCTTCACCCACCTGCCTCATAGTGATAAGCTGCGCGCGCACTACGGCGGCACGGCAATTTTTAAAAGTTAATAACATTGAATGTCATATGAGTGCGCCCACTACGGCGGTACGGCCGGCAACGGACGTTCGGCAGCTTCCGCCGTTTGTCGAAATCGAAAAGTCCGGGAGACAGAACTCCAGGACATTTCCGAGCTGCCGTGACGCCCGTACCGCCCGTACCGACCGGGAGCACAGCACACCGACCGGGCGGGCGGCACGGGACATCCGCCATTCTCAACTGATCTCTGTCGAAGTTCGAAGTAGCAGTGTTTTCATGTGTTGTAAACATAGATGTTAGTAAGTTGATTTTTCTCGTTGAGAAAACCCCGAAACTGTACAACATGCGACATCCGGAATATTTTAATAACGTCCGGCGTGACAATATATGGGCAGAAATATGATCTATTATGAAACAATCAGGCAAGTTTTACACATAATCCTTCTACAAGATCAGGAAACAAGGTGTGGAACTCTCCAAAACTTAGTCTTTTCCTGTTTATGTGGTGTATTTAAAATCTTTGCTTGCACCTTCTTGTCACCTCTTCCTCTGCTAAAATTAAACCTACTATCACCACTTTATCTACATCCATCTTTACTCACAATTTTTAGCTCGCAGACTGTCAACTGTCCTAAATTGCGGATGTGCGGATGTCCCATCCCGTCCGTCCGTGCCGTGCCGCCCTAGTGCGCGCACCCCCTCTTAAAAATGCCGTTTGTGCCGTACCGCCCGTCCGTGCCGTACCGCCCGTCCGTGCCGTACCGCCCGTCCGTGCCGTACCGCCCGTCCGTGCCGTGCCGCCGTAGTGCGCGCGTAGCTATAGTGCATACGTACGAGCCGTTGCTACTAGCAACCAGCGCTAGGCTAGATAAGACTAGCGCTGCTAGTTGCTTTGCTACAATGCATGCTCGCTCACTTGACCTTGACGCGCTCTCGCTGTATGCTGTGTGTAGTTGACAATCGTTAAATTTCGGATTTGAGTAGGGTTCAGTGTTTGTTGTGATGTTGTCAAGTCAAGCAGTGTTTGTAGTGGTGGTGCATCCAGGGGGGGGGGGGTATAGGGATTTAAACACCCCGATTTAAAAATATTTTTTACAATAAAAAATGTTTTTCCACAGTCTAAAAATCTCTTTGACTGTCCCTAAATAGCCTAAAAACGTGAGTTTATAGGTATAATTTTCAAAAGTTCCCGGATTCCCCCTCTCCCTGTGGGGTATTTCAAACCCCCCGGCAAGGTAACATACCTACTTCAGAAGCCCCCTCCCCCAAAAAAGTCTGGGTGCGCCACTGGCTACCCAATTAAATTACACTAGGGCATTATCAAAACAGCCCAAACCTGCAGACCAAACAAATTTCCATTTGTCTGATTGGTTTTCTATTAAAATAAGTTCTTAAACTTGACAGATATATTCCCTATTAAAATAACACCAGTTTTAATGAGTACCTTGGTTTGTTGCTTCAGAAAAGGAAAAAGTTTTTTTTTGTAAAATATTAATATGTTAAAAGGAAATAAATCAATTTGCCAAATTTGATCAAAACATATCTTTAACACTATAACCATCTATAACCAAGCAAACTACTTGTTATGTAATATGATTTCTACTGTACTGTCAAATATGTCATCAGCTGTTTATTTAAGACTGTTTATGTATTTAATGTTTACAGTTTTGTGTTAATTCTCCATTTAAAATGTAGCAGATTATTAAGTTGAATAAAACCATATAAATTTGGTTTCTAAACATTTCTTCATTTCTAAAACATTTCTAAAAATATCTTAAAAATGATATTTTTAAAAATTGCGAAACATTTACTTATATACAGCTGACTCTAAACCTCGTAAAGAGTTAACCTAGGTCCTTGGGGGGAGGGGGGCTACCTCCTTATTGAGAGCGTATGCCCACAACTCTGAACTGTACAAGAGTACGGACTCGACTGAATAAGACATAAACAGAGCATTCTATGACTGGACCGAGGCCCTCCGACATTGGCCATCAAACCGGCTAAGAGAAGAAACAACTCTAGCGGCCTTGTCCGCTGTACGGAAGATCTGATCCTGCCAGCTAAGCTTGCTGTCCACCATGACCCCAAGGTACTTGGTAGAACGAATGGTTTGGACCTCGAAGGCCCCAACCCTCAACGGTACGATGGTGTCAATCCATTTCTTTGTCAAAATCACAATCTCGGTTTTGCTCAAAGCGAGTGTGAGACCGTGGTCTGCCATTCATGCGTTTATGGTACGCATTACTCGAAACATTTTCAGCTTTAGCTGAGCCAGCTCAACGCTACGTGCAGCTATCAAAGCTACAACGTTGTCCGAGTACCCAACCAAAACCGTTTTGTCAGGCATTTCAGACCTCAGAAGCCAGTCATAAGCGACATTCCAGAGATCTGGGCCGAGTATGGAACCTTGGGTAGCACCAGAAGTGACACTCATCGTCCGTGGGCCTTCCGTAGTGTCATACGTGAGGAGGCGGAACTGGAGATAATCCTCTATGATGCGCATGAGGTATACTGAAACGTGGAAGGTGTTCTCCAGAGCGTCCAGTATATCACACCACCTCGCGGAATTAAATGCATTTCGCACATCGAGTGTTACGAGCAGCACAACCCTACGAGAGTAGTGGTTAAAATCCTCAGCTCTCATCACGGCTTGCTTCACCTCCTCAGTCGCGTCAACCGTTGATCGCCCCATCCTGAATCCATACTGACGAGGGTACAGGTTGTTGACAGCGGGAATTGTTTTCTGGCCAAAAATATTATGAATAGGTGGTTGCATGTTGCATAGTGAGCAGTCCGAAAGTTCGTGGTAGACTAAGAGAGAAGTTCTTCATTTAAAACATTAATTGTCTATTAATGTTTTAAATGAAAAAATTCTCTCTTAGTTTAACCATAGACAAATATGATTCAATATAGACTGACAGCAGTGCTGTGGTTAGCATAAGTTCTACCGCTAGGAGTGCGAGTGCCGTGTACAGATAGCGCGTGCTCCTTGAACTACATAGCACTCCTAGCGGTGGACTCCAGAACATATGCTAAGCGCAGCACTGCTGTTGGTCTATGATTCTATTTGTCTATGGTTTAACTTAAGAGGTCAAATATGTTTAAATAAAGTTTTTGTGAGCAAAGCCACGACGGGACGGAGTGTAGTATAAATAATAAATAATACCCCCGCCGCAGCAAACCTGCAGACTAAGCGAATTTTCATCTGCCTGATTGGATTTACACTAAAATGCCTCCTAAAAAATATCACATTTATTCCCTATTTAAATAGAATTAGTTTCACGAGTACTAAGGTTTGCTGCAATAGGGAGGGTAAAAAAGTGTTTTTGTTGTAAAATGTAAATAGTTAAATAAGAAATGAATGTGTTTTCCAAATTCGATCAAAATATGTTCATAAACATACAAACTACAACAGTTGACTTATTCTCCAAAAGAATAACAAGGGAATTTTAAATTTAAATTTGTTTGGAATTTTCTCGGTAACCATTAGGCGCACAATAACGCTTCAATATACTAAATTGTTTGTTTTTTCAAGCTCAACAAAATGGTTTAGAAAGAAATAGTGAAATTTTGTGTTTTTAGGGTCAAAAATGGGAAAACTTATTTTTACCCCATAAAACCCCCCATAAACCCCCGTTCCCATTGTCCGATCATGCTGGTTCGCAAACTCGTTTGAATTAATGTAGGTTTACACGTTTATACCAAATTTCATCCAAATCGGATCATTTTTGCTCGAGTTATCGTGCTAACGGGCATGGGTGATCAACAATAACGCTTCAATATACTAAATTGTTTGTTTTTTCAAGCTCAACAAAATGGTTTAGAAAGAAATAGTGAAATTTTGTGTTTTTAGGGTCAAAAATGGGAAAACTTATTTTTACCCCATAAAACCCCCCATAAACCCCCGTTCCCATTGTCCGATCATGCTGGTTCGCAAACTCGTTTGAATTAATGTAGGTTTACACGTTTATACCAAATTTCATCCAAATCGGATCATTTTTGCTCGAGTTATCGTGCTAACGGGCATGGGTGATCAACGAGAACGAGGCCACTATTGGGATATCGGAAACGGTAAGAATTAGAGAAAACTTTAAATGGGGAACATTCCTTTATTTTTGTTGTGGCAGTTAAAAATATGATTTTATTTTTCTGAAATTCAGCCGCCATTTTCCAAAATGGCGGCCAACTTTGAAATTTCTTATGGAACACTCTGTAGTAAATACAAGTCAAATAAGTCTTAAAATTGCATCCACATTCCATAAAGACAATAAAATACACAGTTTTCCACTTTTCAAGTTTGCCGCCATTTTTAAAATAATAGAATTATTCAATTCAATTCAATTAATATTTTTAATGAATTTTATGGTCTTTTTGGAATGTGGATACAATTTTAAGACTTATTTACTTTTCATATTTTCGCTAACTTGTTTAGGAGCTACATGATGTAAAATGTACACCGGAAGTCATTTTTCCATAGGCTGTAACTCCTAAACGAGTGGGTTTATCAAAAAAAATCTCAAGAGTAAAAAAGTTTTTATATTGCATGTTCTATCCGAACACAGGATAAAATATAGAGTACTCCATAAGAAATTTCATAGTACGCCACCATTTTGGAAAATGGCGACTGAATTTCAAAAAAATAAAATCATATTTTTAACTGCCACAAAAAATAAAGAAATGTCCCCCATTTAAAGTTTTCTCAAATTTCTACCGTTTCCGATATCCCAATGGTGGCCTCCTTGAGTTGACATCCCTGTATATGAATTAGAACGGATGGTGTTTTTGGCCTCTAGGGACCTCAAGACAAAAAAGTAAATCGCTCACGGGTCCAGGTCTTTCTAATTGTATCCATAGTCAGTCAATCATATTTAAGAGGCAACCCAAAATTAATGCTGACACCTCTAAAGTTCAAAAAGATAAGTTTGAAGAGGTTAATAAGACTTTAAAAAAGATATAAACTTCTCTGTCTATTCCTTGGAATTAGAGAGCTGGTCATCTATATAATTAATACGCTACATGAAACTTTGTCGGTTGAACTCCTCCGCCATTTCTTAAACGATTTTATCCATTGACGTCTCATTGGAAAGAGCGTGCCGCGTAGATTTGCAAACTGGCCTTTTATTTTTGAAAAAGTCCCTTGGGCTCTGCCCCAGTGGCTTTGAAAGTTCCCATGTTATCCTTATGAAGAACATAATTGTTTACATTTTGATCAGCTGTATAATTTAACTGCTGTTATTTATTTTTCAATTCAATGAAACACATTGAGTACGTTTATTTACTATTTGAGTTTGTTTAAACATAACCCCCAAGTCGAATAGTGTTAGTATGGTTGTATCTTAAATTTGTGTATTTATCGTTGTTTTGTGTCGCTATGACGGATCGTGTTAGCATGATTGTAACTTAAATTTGTGCATTTATCGTTGTTTTGTGTAGATATAATTTGTTTATTTGTTGTTTTTTTTCTTTTAAATGCCTCCGACGCGACGACAACGAAACATAGACAGGAGTTTAATCGTGATAACGACCGCAACTACAGAACAGTGGCGCGTAATAGGTTTAGTAGTATGTTTTCTGTGTTTAACTCAACACATTCAGCACCTGACCCTGGCCCAACACTACCCCAACACGACTTTCTGTTCTCAATTGGCCCTCTATCAATCACCTGTGTTGCCTGTGTTGTCTTTGAGTTGACTCTTTTAAACTCATTGTAAATATGACTGTTATTCGTTTTGAAATAACTCCTGTAATACTTTGCAATTGCTCGAATTCGAGCAACATGTACACTAGTACAGATCAATTCAGTAGATGTGGGTATCAGATTTATTAGTAAATCTTTCAGGGGCAAATCATGAATAAAATGGAGGAAACATCTCTATGATTTTGATGGTGGAAGATGTTTGAAAAGTACCAGACAAACACTTAAGTTAGTTCTAAAGCAAAAAGAGTTATTTTGGGAAATGGGCAGTTTGGAACTTCCTGAGTTGAGATGGATGGTTAAAGGTCAGTACTTGGAGGTAAACACTTCCTAATATAATATATAATAAAATATATCTAAAATTCAACAAAGTTTGGTGTCTACCTTTTTTAGTGGTAGTAAAAAAGATATGATAAATTACAGAGCTCAGTTTGACTAACATTTGAGACATATTTAATAGTGGAGCTGTGAGCTGGATAAAATCCAAGCATAGGCCTACCCTCTAAGATGGGCATTTTTGCATCTCATATTAGATGGTGTACTATTTTTAAGAACTTGAAGTCTGGGAAGATGGGTTGCCAAAAGAATGCTAAAAAACCTCTCTCGTGGAATTATGTAGATGGCTTTCTAACAAATATTTACATACTTATTGATCACAAAAACAACACATGGATACATGGTTGTGAAGTTTTGTACAGATCTGAAGAATATCTAACTCTCGTATTAGATCTTTTATTATTTTCTTAAAATATTAATCCTAGTTGTAATACTAATTCCTTTACCTTTAGACAGGATTCTATAAATTCTTCTAATGTTATAACGCCATCTTGATTTATATCTAATTTTCTAAATACAAAGTCCACTTGCTCTCTCGCCTTCCGGTCCTCCTCAACCTGTAAATAATTCATCGATTTATTTACAAAAGGCACTTACAATTAGCGATCACAAAACAATTAACCACATAATATAAAGAAATGATTATCAAACTGTTTTAAAATTACTGTACAATATTTTTGTAAAATATATTTTCCTCTTCATTAGGATTGCTTGTATATTGCCACAAGCAAAAAGATACAATCAATAACCATCATACATTTGTGTATCTCCTCCCCAAATTCAAACAATGCGGCATGTTTGCATGTCATGGTTAGTGCAGCACTTTCAAGGTACTGGCAGCGACAGCTCCAACACAATCACGAGCTAACTACAGTTCATGTCTCACGAATTGTGAATCTATAGTTGAGATAAGACAAATTAATAACCTCTGTAAAGTAGGATATGGCTAATTGACTGAATGAAAATAATAGTACTTTTTGTTGTTGGTCAATTACAGTAGTTCACAATTTCTTTAGTCTGCCCTGGTACAAAAATTGTATTAACTTGACTATTGACTAAATATTCCATATTACTTAATAAATTGACTAAACTCCATATAGCTTAATACTATATAATCAAGTTTTACTAAAATAAGAAATACTAGTGTACCTGTTGCTCGAAATCGAGCAATTTTCAAGTACCGGTATTATACAGAAGTTATTTTAAAACTACATTAATAACGGTCATAATTTTCGATGAGTTTAAAAGACCCGACTAAATACTTATGTAACTAATTGAAATACTCACGCTATTTAATAGCACTTTGAAATAATAAACGCTTCTTGTAAAAATATTTTAGAATTTTTTGGACCCGACCTTATTTTTTAGTGTTTTCTACAAATGTTTCCAAACTTAAAGCTATTACCAGTAAACATTTCTTGCATATATTTATTTGATCTGACTTTAGGTAGGTTTACTTTACCACTGTGACAACATGAAGTGTCAATATTCTTCATGGTTTTTTTTTACTTCCAAAAAGCTGCTTAGCATAAACTGGCAAAAATGATTCATCTCCCCAAGTGATTGTGTACCTGGATTCCTTACTGTGAGACCAGGCCTCTCCTCTACTCTTCTCATACGTTTCTCTTCTCATAAGATTTCCTATTAATTGTCTCATCCTCCTATTTTCAATATTTCTCCTTTAAACTCAATAAGTTGTCTGTTCTTCCAACAAAACTGATTGACTGTTTAGATTTGTCTATAACCTCCTAAATATTACAAACATCAATATTTACTCCCAAAAAGCTGGCGAGTTTCTTTTTATATACAGCTGTTTTTGTTTTAACATTTGATTTCAATGTAATTCTTATGGGGAAAATGCGACCTTTGAGAGTGTCTCGTGCCCTTAAGGGTAAGAGTTTTTAAATTCTAAAACCTGTATGCAAAACTACGAATTGAGACGAATTATTTGACACCTCAAACGTTAAAATCGATCCAGAAATAACGGAGGAGTTTTGTTCACAAAAAACAGCCCTCACGTAATTACATAAGAGATTGTTATAATTGTTATAGTGTTAGTGTTAATCATGAAATGTACAGCCTACCTGCCTGATGTGAGTAACGCCCCTCTTTTGGATGACCAGCCCTACGGCCAGCCTTGACCACATTGTAAGATGTGTCCATATCATGGACCAGACAGTAAAATCATGAACTGTACCTGATGTGAGCGACGCCCCATGAGTTCGTGGATGGCCAGTACGATTTCTCCTAGTTCAGACCGTGTTATACAGCCATCACCGTTTATGTCGTATAATTTAAACGTCCACCTCAGTTTTTCGTAGATGGAGCCTCTTAACAGTGTCGACAACGTTACTAGCAGGTCCTGCAAAAGTATCAATCAGATAAGATGATCAGATATCAAATAAATAATAAAAATACTGTACACAATTTATACACCCCCCTTATGCGCTATGTAAAGAAAAAATTTTATATTTACATTTTTAGGTAAAGTATTTTTAGGGTAGGCCTACAGTGGCCTGTCGGTTTCATTGCCTGTGTTTTTCAACTTGAGAATAATTTTAAGAAATACACTTTTAATGTAATAAATATTTAGTTACAATAACATATGAAGTATATACATATTGAAAATAATATGACAGACAACTAATTGAGTTGAGATGTGTCTATGATCAATAGATTGGATGATGGCTGGTGGGGGAAGGAATGGCACCCATTAAACACATTCCTGGGTCTTAATCACAGTATTCTACTCTCAAACTCTCTTATTACATTCCTAATATATTTGACCTAGGCTGGTTGTTTAACTAATATCTTGCATCCAGCAATTATCTCTTTTATACTGTGATATGCCCTTTTTTCATAAATTACTTGTAATTTATTATTGTTGTCAAATTTATACTTAAATGTTAAACGCAAATGCCTTTACTCGTGTATAAATATAATCTGATGATGGTTGACAGTCACAATTTTTTTTTTAAGATGTTGGGGGTCTCTTTTTAACGTTGCATTTGCCTGTCCACATAGACTAACTGCCCGTGTGTGGAACGTATCCAGCAAAGCAAAGGGTGAGCCGGTACAGTACAAAGGTGAACTATACTGATAAAATGTTTTCGACAGTGACCAGGATCCAAACCCACGACATCGCATGCCTTGGGCCCGGAGTTCGTGACACTACCGACTGAGCCACCGACTCACCTAACCATTGAGCCTTAATTCCTTAACAATTGAGGCCCAGTATATTAACAAACAAGACAAGTCTACCCAAAGCTTAAAATTTAATATAGCAAACATCCAAAAAATATTTCTTATACATCATATTTGCGTACTTGGTTGATAAGTTGGCAAGTAAATCAAGTTGAAATCAGCTGAAGCTGGGTTCACTTACTACTCAGTGATCAACTCAAGGAGGCCACCATTGGGATATCGGAAACGGTAAGAATTAGAGAAAACTTTAAATGGGGGACAATCCTTTATTTTTTTTGTGACAATTAAAATTATGAATTAAGTTTTTTGAAATTCATCCGCCATTCCAAAATGGCGGCCAACTTTTAAATTTCTCATGGAACACCCTATATATGAAATTTTAAAACTTTTTTATTCTTGGCATTTTTTTCATAATCTCACTCGTTTAGGAGTTAAAGCTTATGAAAAATGACTTCCGGTGTACATGTTGCATCATGTAGCTCCTAAACGAGTAGGTTTATAGTGAAAATGCTAGATATAAATAGGTCTTAAAATTGCATCTACATTCCAAAAATACATAAAATACCTTAAAATACACAGTTTTCAATTTTTAAACTATTTCAACTATTTTGGAAAATGGCCGCCATTTTAGAAATAATAGAATCAATATCTTTTACGTATTGTATGGTCTTTTTGGAATATAGATGCAATTTTAAGACCTATTTATATTTAGCATTTTCCCTATAAACCTACTCGTTTATGAGCTACATGATGCAACATGTACACCGAAAGTAATTTGTTCATAGGCTGTAACTCCAGAAACGAGTGGGTTTACGAAAAGAATGTGAGGAATAAAAAAAATTTTTAAATTGCATGTTTTATCCGAAAACATGATAAAATATAGGGTGTTCCATAAGAAGTTTCAAAGTTCCAAAAAGACCATAAAATTCGTTAAAAATATTAATTCTATTATTTAAAAATTGCGGCAAACTTGAACAGTGGAAAACTGTGTATTTTATGGTCTTTATAGAATGTGGGTACAATTTTTAAAATTATTTGACTTATTTACTACAGAGTGTTCCATACGAAATTTCAAAGTTGGCCGCCATTTTGGAAAACGGCGGCTGAATTTCAAAAAACTAAAGTCATATTTTTAATTGCCACAAAAAAAAGGATTGTCCCCCATTTAAAGTTTTCTGTAATTCTTACCGTTTCATCCCAATGATGGCCTCCTTGAGTTGATCACTCTGTATCTATCTACCTATCTATCTATACAGGGTGTTTCAGAATTCGTGTCGGATATTTTAGGGTATTGTTCCTGGGTAAGAAACAAATCCAAATGTCATATTTAAACTGACCGGAAGTCCTTAGTTACCCACACAGCCACCATTTTGTTTTTTTCGCTTATTAATTGTTTTCTAAAAAGTGGTAAAAGATACGAAGTTGAAACTTTGCAAAAACATTTATGACAACTAGAAAAAGCCACAAAAATTATGAACATTTAAAAAATTCATAAAACAAAATGGCGGCCATTTAAAATTTTGTTTCTATATTTAAAATATATATTTAGTTAAAATATTTAGGTGTATACTTCGACCAAAAGTTAAATTGGAAATTTCATATTAATAAAAAATTAAATTTGGCTTATGGCAGATTATCAAAATTGTTTCCTTTAATAAACAAAAAATCATGTATGTCTATTAAGAATGGAACCCTTCTATACAAAACACTTCTACGTCCACTATTGTTATACGCCTGCCCAGTGTGGGGAACTGCTTCATCAAGCTCGTAAACTGCAAACATTTCAAAATAAAGTTTTAAGGATAATTCTAAAATGTCCCTGGTATGTTCGAACCCGTCAAATACATTTAGAACTGGGAATAAAACCTATAGAAGATTTCATCAAGAAAATTACGTCAAAATTATTTACAAAACTTCCATTAACCAGCAGCATTGGATTTTATAACACAGGCCAACCTTCTGAAATCCAGAGACTCCGACTAAAATCCAGATTGCCTCAAGATGTTTTATTAGGCTATAACCATTTTTTTTTATTTGTGTTTCATTGGTGGACAGCGCATTTACAGTCCAACCCGCTAAAACAGTGACAATAAATGCCTGAGGGGCTAGCCATAGCTGACCTCTACCTATGTTAATATAATTAATAATGTTATTTTTTATTTCTTATATTATACCTAACCTGTATAGCAATGTAATGCTGATCGGCTAATAAAATTGTTAAAGAAGTTGTTTTTGCTAAACAATTTGATCCTGTGATTAGATCTTCAATAGCATTAACAAGTTAATAGGCTTACCTACAGGGTGCAGCACTATTATTTTTAAAATTTATGACAACAGGTAATTTGTACCAAGCAGAAACAAAAAGCTGTTATACCGTACGTGGAATGGATGGATTTTTTTCAGTTGTGTTTATGCAGCCAGTTAATACTAGTAGTAAATTAATAAATGTCTATCTACATACAGCAGATCTAGGGAACATAATAATTGTTCTATTTAGCGTTCTCAAGCTGCTTGCCATTATTTTCAGAACCAAAATTGCCTCTTCCGCATCTTGACCCCGTTGCAAGGCACGGGTATAGTGGCTAGTAGGCTATATATATGGTGTTTTGGGCTTTGGGGACCTCAAAATGAAATACTCCCGCCGCAGCAAACCTGCAGACTAAGCGAATTTCCATTTGCCTGATTGGATTTACACTAAAATGTCTCCTTAAAAATATCACATTTATTCCCTATTTAAATCAAATCAGTTTAACACATGCTTAGGTTTGCTGCAACAGGGAGGGTTAAAGTGTTTTTTTTTAAGGAGAATCCCATCTTGAATCCCTGGTGATTTTATAAAAGTATGATCGAATATGATTACTCTACGTTGTATATTCACTGCACTAAAAAAATTTTTACGAAGGAATGCAAATACACCATTTTAGAACCAATAACATTTATAGGTTATTTTAGTTGTATATATTTACACAACCTTAAGCTTAAAATGTGTAGAAATATAAAGAAAACAACATCATTTAAAATAAACTTGAACATATGATTTAAAAATAAAAACAAAACAGAAGTTAGATTTAATTTCGACTCTTTGATTATTTATACAGAATATTTATTCTATGTCGTTTATTCCTTAAACACGACAATAACGTAAAAGCATGAAAAAATAAAACTTGAGTATATGATTTAAATATAAACAAAGAATGCAGACGTTTTTCCGACTAATCTTCAATATTTCAGTTTTATTATAGTATACATTTCATAGTTGACTGGCTAAAAGTAAACCAAATGTGTGTATTGATCACTGTTTTCAAATCCGTGGCACAGCTGTTTTAATTTCAAAAGATGTAAACAAATTAAACCCCATGTTGTTTTAATGGGAAAAGTTTTATTCTGTTGCGAATTTATGGTAAAATACCCCCGCCGCAGCAAACCTGCAGACTAAGCGAATTTCCATTTGCCTGATTGGATTTACACTAAAATGTCTCTTTAAAAATATCACATTTATTCCCTATTTAAATCAAATCAGTTTAACACATGATTAGGTTTGCTGCAACAGGGAGGGTTAAAGTGTTTTTTTTATGTAAAATGTTAATAGTTAGTAAGAAATAAAAACATTTTCCAAATTTGGGCAAAATATGTTAATAAATAAGCAAACTACAACAGTTTACTTATCCTCCATAAGAATAACATAGGAATTTTAAATTTACAATTTTTTTGAATTTTCTCCGTAATTATTAGGCGCATTATAACGCTTCAATATACTAAATTATTTGTTTTTTTAAGCTCTACAAAATAGTTTGGAAAGAAATTGCAAAAATTTAAGTTTTTTGGGTCAAAAATTAGAAAAACCCATTTTTACCCCATAAAAGCCCCCATAAACCCCCGTTCCCATGGTCCGATCATGCTGGTTCGCGAACTCGTTCGAATAAACGTAGGTTTACACGTTTGTACCAAATTTCATCAAAATCGGATCATTTTTGCTCGAGTTATCGCGCTAACGGACACACACACACACACACACACACACACACACATATATATATATATATATATATATATATGAATTTGAACGGATGCTATTTTTGGCCTCTAGGGACCTCAAAACGAAAAATAAAATCGGTCCCGGGTCCAGGTCTTACCATGAGTACTACGGTAATAGCTTATTCCCTTTATGGGAAATTCGCTAAAAATAAGAAAAATGAATAGTTTTCCCTCAAAATTCACGTCAAGACCTTTAAAATAAGACCCCTCCCATCCTTCTACGGCCATCCAGTCACTCACAATTTCTTTACAAAAATTTGACTTACGGAATTATATATATACTAGTGGCCTGTAGGGGCCATAGCCCCTAATTTAGACTACAATAAAAACCCATATATAAAAATACAAATATTCGAAATATGTTTTTAAAATTATTAATTTTATGTTACTTAAAATTAACAGCTTTTCTTTTTTTATATCTTGGTTTTCCTTCCGTTGGAGTCGTAACTTATATTAGTTGCTTCTGATGTGTCAATGAAAAATACAATTGTAAAATAATTATTAAATCAATAACACAACATATTAACAAATGGAAACGTGCACACGGTTTGGCCTGAGTCCGGAGAACGACGAATCAGAGCTGAAATCATACAGCCAAACATTGCACATCTTTTCTACTTTAAAATTGAAGATTTTTTTTTGTAATCCTACGAATTCTGTTATAGTTTTCATTTTGAGAACCAAATGTTAAAATTATTATTAATTATTATGAAGGAAACTCCCCATTTCGCAGTAGTAAGTCAGAAATATATCTATGAATTTGTCCCTGAATTTTAAGACAGAAAGGCCCATTTCCCGGAATCTCTTTTTGTGTAGCGGAAAGCGACGCAAAAGCCATTGCACTGTTGTAAAGCCTTATTGTTATTATTATTATTAGCCTCATGTTTTTTATGAAGTTCGAATCATGTAAAAACAGCGCATTTAGTTCGTCCTTTAATTGTGGTTGTGGCATGTCCATTATGGCAACATGCGTTGAAATGTCCATTTGTGGCCTCCTCTGCGAAGTGAAAAGCGCCACAATGCATGCAAGTGCTTTAGGAGGACCTAAATTGTGAGAAACAACACTCAACTCATTTTCCAGCGTTCTTCTAAAGACAGGTTGTAAAACAGCTTCTGGATTTCTTTCACAGTTAGGCCCTACATGACGTTCTCTTTTGCATTTCTGAAGTCTGTTGAATTCCTGGACACTCTTCCACGTCTTGCAGGTCTTTCCCTACCCTGTCTAGTTACTTCGCTCAATATAAAAACAAAAAACAAAAAACTAAACACAATTCATTTTGAAACATTGTTTACCAACATTTACTTTCGGAATCAATGTAAACATTGCAAATAAATAAGTAACAGCTGATAGAATGCATACGTTTTTCAGTCCCCATGCATTTCTTATGGTGGATATTTTACGTTATAACTCGTTTTCTGGTAACTTTATGGGAATTCTGCTATTTTTCCCGAGTCCCTGGGGTCAAGACCTTTAATTTAAGACCCCTCCCACTTTTCTGCGACTTACCAGACGTCCACAATTTTCTGGTAAAAATTTGGTCTTACAGAATTATATATATAGATAGATATAGATACTAAAACCCCAAACTTGTTTAGTAAGCTCGGCCAGACAATAAATGCGCCACCTGTACAGACAACTAATTGTTATAGTTTATGGAGTTGAGTTGGAAAGTATGAATCTAACACATCATCATCATTTTATAGTGTTGGTAATTCTATAGATGATGATAGTATCAATCACTTACTCACCCTGAAGCTAATGGCTCCATTGCAGTTAACGTCGAACGCTTTGAACACAAAATGGGCGTACATGGTGGCGTCTGAAACAAAAATATCCTTTACTGTTGAGCAAACATACAAATCCATTAATGTAGCCAATATTTAAATCTACATAGTAACATAGTAATTTTAAGTTAATAGTTATTTGGTAATTATTAGGCGTACAGCGAAACTTCTGTGTACAAGAATGTTTGATATTGATCTTTACAAAGTAGAGTGACGTTTGCTTAAATGAATACAAGAAATAAATGTGTATGTATCATACAGTACTAATATTATAAATGTGAAAGTTTGTGTGTTTGTTTGTTTGAAGTTCAATCACGCATTACATACTGGTCGGATTGAGCTGAAATTTGGCATGATGATAGCTTGTTCCCGATTAACATATATAGACAATAAGACATACTCTAATCTCAAAGATCCTTTCGGGTTCCTCCCCAGTGACTCTGGAGTTTCTCATGTTAACCTTATGGACGTACAGTATTCATATTTGAAAGGAATTAAATAATTTTGCCAGCTGTTTCAACTACACATTGTGGTTATATGATATTCAATAGCATTAACAAGTTATAGGGTTTACCAATAGGGGGCAGCACTAATATTCTTTGCATTTATGACAACAGCTAATTTATTTGAACCTAGGCTCCTCATTCCCTTGTAAATTTTTAAGGTTGTTTTTCGTGTCTAGTTCATGTACGTCCACATTGATCGCTGGAGTAGACGAAGTTTTGTTTATATTATTTTAGGATTTTTTTCATGATTTGTGCTTTACTTGTTATTTATGTCCCAATGGTTACATAAGTAGGAGACCAGTTATTGTTGATGATTATATCGTTTTATTTGGTTAAATGGGGGTTTAAATGACTAAAATAACAAGAAAAAAATTGTAAAAAACACTACCTCTAAAGTTGGACGTACAGAACTAACAATAAAATTAGCTTCAGCTGTTCCATAAGGATGACAAATCTACTTTGAACCAAGCAGCAAAAAAAACTTTATACATTATGGAAATTTTCAAAGTACTGTAGGATTGTTTACAGTCTGGTTTACAGGTATGCTTTACTTTTTTATTTTGTTTAGGTGCAGTGGTAGAACATTATTATGGCTATAGTTTATGTTATATTACACCATACCGTAATTTAAAAGAACCAAATTTGATCAAAACCGTGTCATCTCCCATTACAAACACATATCACGAGTATAACTGCAATAAGCATTTACTTATGTTGCATAGTAGGTACCAATAAGTCAATAAGTCATTTATTTAACCAAAATAACAATTACATGCATGGGTCATGTCATTTAGCGAAACATACAGTTTCTTGACATACTGTTCTTTTTTTACACTAAGGATACCTATGATCAAACAAGTTTGATAGTTTATTTTAGCCGTCAGCCAGGAACTTACGGACGCTGTAATAAGCTTTTTTTAAAAGAAAAGATTGTAGGGTTTTTTTAAATTTCAGATGGTTTGATACTGCTTTGAGGTGAGAGGGAAGATGGTTGAACATTTTTATTGCATTATATCGGAGATGGTTTTGAAAGAAGGAAGTGTGGTGTCTAGGAACTGGGAGGGTATTTGTGGATCTCAAACTATAATGATGGTCTGTTGGAGTGATAAACTTGCCAGTGTTTTGGTGCAGAAAGGATAATGTCTTGTAGATGTAGAGACATGGGAACGTTAATATTTCGGATGATAGAAAAACTGGTTTACAAGCCTGACGTCTATTCATTGAAAAGATGGCTCTGATTGCCCTCTTTTGAAGGCGGAATAAAAATAGAGTTCTTTTGTTCTCACACCCCCAGATAGGCAAGGCGTACACGAGATGAGGGAAGATGAGACCGTAATAAGCAGAAAGAAGGACATCGGGCTTAGATAGCTTTGCAAGGGCGCGGATGGCAAATATCCCTGAACTTACCCTATTGATGACGTATTGAATGTGGTCATGGAAATTAATCTTCTCATCTAAGATCAGCCCAAGAAACGGTGTCTTCTCTATTGGGTGTACTGGAACTTCATCCAAGTGAAAACTAAAATACTTAGAAGATCGATCAGAGATATGAAAATTGAGAAGTTGAGTCTTTTGAGAGTTCATCGAAAGCAGATTATTCTCAAACCACTGAACTAGCTTGTTGGCTTCAGAAGAGGTCAATTGCTCAAGAGTCTCTACAACAGGGCTGGACAAGGAAAGAGATGTATCGTCGGCATAAAGAATGGTCCTAGCCGATTCAACACCCATGGGAAGGTCGTTAATGAACAGGAGAAAAAGTGTAGGGCCTAAGATGGAGCCCTGGGGCACACCTCTCGAGACAGGGAGCTCAGGTGAATTGAATTTCCGCAGAAATCCATGCTCATCGACTGACGATACCCGTACACACTGCCTCCTGTCCCTCAGGTATGACCTGAACCATTCTAACGCCAACCCTCTTATCCCATAGGTATGTAATTTTTCTATTAGAAGGTCATGATTAACAGAGTCAAAAGCTCTACGCAAGTCAAAAAGCAGTCCCGTGGAACAGTTTCCTTTATCAAGAGAGCAGACTATGTCATCAATGAGGGCAAACATTGCACTCGTCGTGGATCTATCTTTCAGAAATCCGTGTTGGTTTTCACATACTATATTATGTTGTTTAAAAAAATTGTCAAACGAATTGAAACAACCTTTTCAAAAATCTTCGAGATAAAAGTCAAAATGGATATAGGCCGATAGTTATTGAGGTCTTTTTCATCACTCTTTTTATGTACTGGTCTGACTATTGAAAGTTTTAAGGCATCTGGAAAACAACCCGAGACAAAAGAGAAATTAATCAGGTGGCTAATTGCTCCAGCTAGTAGATCTGACATACTCTTTAAGATTCGTACTGAAATTTCATCTGAACCAGCAGAATTTTTGTTTTTCAGAGAGGCAATGACTTCTTTTACTTCTTACTTTGATGTTGAATGGAGGAAGAGTGAGCCTTTAGGTCGTCCTACCAATGCCACGCTTGTTTTCAATCCATTCTCTGAGTTATTAACATTGACTTTGACAAAATTATCATTGAATCTGGAGGCAATGTGCAAGGGATCGTAAGTCGGCTCACCGTTATCATCTCTGATACACATTTCTTTAAAATCGTTTGATTTCTTTGGTCTTCTGCTATTGATGATTTGCCAGATTTCTTTCGCTTTGTTATCAGACGACTGAATTCTTTTAAATATCTCATTGGACCTCTCTTCTTTAATGACTGCACGGTATTTATATTTTAGTCGCTTATAATATTCCCGCATAAAGTGGGTGGACTCCAAGTCTTTTGTTTTCAAGTAGAGATCATTCAATTCAGTCTTAAGCTGTAAAGCTTGTGGACTAAGAGTTATCTTCTGTACTTTCCTCTGTTTAGTCTTTTTTATGGTCTTAGGAAAATTGTATATTTTGGATGGTTTAGGTTTAGGGATCATCTTCAAATGGTCCAAAATCATTTGGTCCAACAGTATAAACTATTGCGTCCCTCACATTGAAGGCGTTCAAATATCCGCCGTCGTATACAATAATACAATTTTAATAACAACTAGCTGTGTGCCCGTTCTACGCACGGGGATCTTATTGTAGTCAGTTATTGAAACCTTTTTATTAAGAACAGAATTTGGTTTGCATATTTTCAGATATGCTGGCAAAACTATTATACAGTATATAAACCTTCGCAAATACAGTATCTGACAGTTTCAAGCCAAAACAAATGCTTCGAAATTAAATGTAACCTGGGTCGTGTTGGTCCATATGTTAAATCCAATGATTAAACTAAAAAATGCTTTATAGATCTATGAGGCATAGCCCTAATGTAGGCCTATAATTGAAAGTTACCTTCCACAATGGTTAAAAGTATTTAAGGTACTACTTCAACCTCCCAATTTAACACTTTATTCGTGTTGACATTTTCATTATAAAGGTACTTTTGTCCTTTCCGTGAAACACTGAGAAATAAGGGCATTAATGCTTTACTAACAGACATACACACAAAAATACAGAACTTAATTAGGGGGTTTGCTACGCTTTAAGCATAACAAAGTACTTGTAAAATTAGTATCTAAAATAATTTTTTAATGTCATCAAATTTCATCATAACAATGTATATTTGCTTGGACCGATGATGACCCGAAATGACGGCTTACTATATGAAATGAAGACGACTGGTCCAGGGTGGTCCAGCCACCCTGGTATAGACGATTGGTAATTTATAAAGCGTTTAAACAATTCATTATGGTTAGCTGAATAAATGTTTTACTAAAGTGCGTTATCGTTTTCTTAGCATAAACTAACATTTTGGAATCAAAAAAAGAAAAAGCAAAAATTGTACAGTTAAGACATCAATTAAATTGAATACGCCTGTAATAATAAATAAGGTGCAACACCAACTAATTTGTAAAGTACAGTGATGTGTTGGTACTTAAAAATGATTCTTTCTACTACCAACAGTACCAACGGTTCTAAGGAATAGAACCGGTACCAAAAACCAACGTTCACAGTTGAGAACTATAGTACAGCCGACCAATTATATGAGTTAATCAAGTCCCGAGGTTATTGATCTCTTGGTTTTTGATTTTCTCGTAAAACTTTTTAAAACGGCAATCAAAGTTATTTCCCAATAATTGCTTTATTTGTAAACAACTTTTAATGTAAACTTATCGGTGTCAGTTTTTAAAAAAAACAACCTCATACAAACAACTTTTTGTTATTTAATAGATTAGGCCCTACGTACCTATTCTCTAAACAATGATTGGTAAAGGCTATCTAATAACATTAGAAGGAAATGTGACAAAAATCACACAACGTTGGGTTTTTGGACGTTTGTAATTTTATTTCTTAAGTAGGTAGGCCGTGTATTCTAGGGAAAAGTACCTGTTTAGTATTCTATGGTTTATTTTATTTTAGTCTGTCTCCAACACATGTTTTTGGGTTTTTCAATTTTACTACATGTGATTATTGTTTTGATAATATTAATGTTGTTAAAAATGGTCAAGAAATACATTACAGTTTTTTCCTAATTCATTTTGCATTTATTTGTT